TATCTACCTCTGTATCTACCTCTCTATCTACCTCTCTATCTACCTCTATCTACCTCTGTATCTACCTCTGTATCTACCTCTCTATCTACCTCTGTATCTACCTCTCTATCTACCTCTCTATCTACCTCTCTATCTACCTCTCTATCTACCTCTCTATCTACCTCTGTATCTACCTCTCTATCTACCTCTCTATCTACCTCTCTATCTACGTCTCTATCTACCTCTCTATCTACCTCTCTATCTACCTCTCTATCTACCTCTCTATCTACCTCTCTATCTACCTCTCTATCTACCTCTCCTATCTACCTCTCTATCTACCTCTCCTATCTACGTCTCTATCTACCTCTCTATCTACCTCTCTATCTACCTCTCTATCTACCTCTCTATCTACCTCTCTATCTACCTCTCCTATCTACGTCTCTATCTACCTCTCTATCTACCTCTCTATCTACCTCTCTATCTACCTCTCTATCTACCTCTCTATCTACCTCTCCTATCTACCTCTCTATCTACCTCTCCTATCTACGTCTCTATCTACCTCTCTATCTACCTCTCTATCTACCTCTCTATCTACCTCTCCTATCTACCTCTCTATCTACCTCTCTATCTATCTCTCTATCTACCTCTCTATCTACCTCTCTATCTACCTCTCCTATCTACCTCTCTATCTACCTCTCTATCTACCTCTCTATCTACCTCTCCTATCTACCTCTCTATCTACCTCTCCTATCTACGTCTCTATCTACCTCTCTATCTACCTCTCTATCTACCTCTCCTATCTACGTCTCTATCTACCTCTCTATCTACCTCTCTATCTACCTCTCTATCTACCTCTCTATCTACCTCTGTATCTATCTTTCTATCTACCTCTCTATCTACCTCTCTATCTACCTCTCTACCTCTCTATCTACCTCTCTATCTACCTCTCTATCTACCTCTCTATCTACCTCTCTATCTACCTCTCTATCTACCTCTCTATCTACCTCTCCTGTCCTCAATGTGTTTAAAATTTTGGAAAAATAAAACTAAATACACAATAACTAACCTTGTTCTGAAAATAGCATCATAGCTATCTCATGATCACTATATTTAAAAAAAAAGATCTCTAATGATCGATATTTATCTTTTTTAATGTAATCAAGTTGTACTTTACGCCGATCAGAAGTTTTTTAATACAGTTTTTGTATTGACTGACCTTATCTAATCCACTTAGGGAAAGATTTACAGTTTTCCTAACAAGCTACAAGCAAATTGTGTTGTGTATTTCATTAATTGAGTGGAGGAACTAATTAGCTTAATCTATTTTTAGAAACTGATTGGATACATTATTTGTTTAAAAATGTATCCTATTAATTTAAGAAGTGTATTCTCGGGTATTCGTAGGTAGCGGTGATAAAGAGAAGATGTTGACGTCAGTCTATTCGATGTCTTTGGTATATGTGTGACGTCAGTCTGTAGATCGTCCATGCCACATCTAATCTAGACACAATGAAAATCTACATAATATAGACACAATGAAAATCTACATAATCTAGACAATGAAAATCTACATAATCTAGACACAATGAAAATCAACATAATCTAGACACAATGAAAATCTACATAATCTAAACACAATGAAAATCTACATAATCTAGACACAATGAAAATCTACATAATCTAGACACAATGAAAATCTACATAATCTAGACAAGACACAATGAAAATCTACATAATCTAGACACATTGAAAAATCTACATAATCTAGACACAATGAAAACCTACATAATCTAGACACAATGACGTGAGAGCTTTATGAAGCTGAATCTCCTAATTTGTTTAAAATGACATTAATAGTGGATAATTATTGTCTTCAAACAGTTTCTCTTTTATGTATCTTTCCCTCTCCTTCCATCTCTCCCCTTTCCTCTCTGTCTCTCTTTTCCTTTCTTTAATGTAAACAACAGATAATCCAATTGAGAAGGCTAAACAAGTCTTTGAGGACGGATTATATAACGTAAGCATCTAACGATTTTTTTAAAAACTTTTATTAATTTAATTATTTTTAATTTTATGAGCTTCAAACGTAATACGAAAGTAATTATAGAAAAACATAGTTAAAGAAACATCACCCATACTTCAAACATCAGCCCATTTCATTAAAATAAACAAACAGCTAGAAGTTTTAAAGAATCAACGATAACTAGTTTCTTCACACACAAAAAGGTTTTTCGACGCAAATATTCTGTAAAACAGCCCAACTTTCAATTGTTGTGTTTTACTCGACGAAAAAAATCTTTGATTTTATTCCATGATATTTTTTTCTGTTACCTTCCTTTTTTATCTTAATTTTAGTGTTGGAAGGTTGTTTGACTTTAAAGTTGTCTCTCGTAGAAGAGTGGCTGACCCCAGCTAACGAGGGTTCGAACTCGAGACTTTTCGATTTAGCAACCATGAGCTTTACCGACTCAACCACACGGACCCCTACATTAGTTTATTAATCATACCGAATTCTAAGTACATTAATTACACCAAGATTATAGTACATTAATTATACCGAGATTATAGTACATTAATTATACCGAGATTATAGTACATTAGTTATACCGAGATTATAGTGCATTAATTACACCAAGATTATAGTACATTAGTTATACCGAGATTATAGGACATTAATTATACCAATATTATAGGACATTAATTATACCGCGATTATAGTACATTAATTATACCGAGATTATAGTACATTAATTATACCGAGATTATAGTACATTAATTATACCAATATTATAGGACATTAATTATACCGAGATTATAGTGCATTAATTACACCTAGATTATAGTACATTAATTATACCGAGATTATAGTACATTAATTATACCAATATTATAGGACATTAATTAAACCGCGATTATAGTACATTAATTATACCGAGATTATAGTACATTAATTATACCAATATTATAGGACATTAATTATACCGAGATTATAGTGCATTAATTACACCTAGATTATAGTACATTAATTATACCGAGATTATAGTACATTAATTATATCAATATTATAGGACATTAATTATACCGCGATTATAGTACATTAATTATACCGAGATTATAATACATTAATTATACCGAGATTATAGTACATTAATTATACCGAGATTATAGTACATTAATTATACCGAGATTATAGGACATTAATTATACCGAGATTATAGTGCATTAATTACACCTAGATTATAGTACATTAATTATACCGAGATTATAGTACATTAGTTATACCGAAATTATAGTGCATTAATTACACCTAGATTATAGTACATTAATTATACCAAGATTATAGGACATTAATTATATCGAGATTATAGTGCATTAATTACACCTAGATTATAGGACATTAATTATATCGAGATTATAGTGCATTAATTACACCAAGATTATAGAGCTTAACACATTTCGTCAGGGCACATTCGTTTCGTCCATTCTGTTGTTGATTGTAAGTTGGTTGTTAGCAGCCAGTGTGGTGGATGGGGTGACCCCCTATGATCACCTACCCCTTCACCACGTGTAGTAAGTAACGACGGTGCTGACTGGTCGGAGCGACTGTGTCTGTCTTTCGTGGTGCGGCGGATCCGAACTTCTGTAGAGATGGTACCTCGAATTCCGACAGGACTTTCTACCATATGACCAGATTCCTTGTGCTTGTTTTGCCGAAATAATTTTTTTTTCGCAGAAATTAAAGTTTTATATAATGACTTCACGAAATGTTTCCCATTTCACACTCTCACTAGTAGTAACACCCACTATACCCCCCCCCCCCTCCTGCCCAAAAATAACGACCACACAAATAACATTACACACAGCTAAAAATAAACACCAATCTTAAGAGAGTTATTGTTTTCTGTTTTTATTATTGAAGCTGTACAAGTTTGTTACGTCATATTTCTAATACACCTCCCCTATGAAGGACAACTCCCGCAAACACTGAGTCGCGTCTGATACAGAGTTATCCGCCCTCTTAAGACAAGGACATGTTGGTGTAGGGGCCTTCTAATCCCCACTCTGTCAGGCTTGGTTAGTGCCCTTTGATCATCGCTGTCAGGATTAGTTGCTGGCCCGCTTCGTCTTATTGACACTCGGGTAATGGGTCTCAAGACAGCCGTGCGTGTCTTTGTTAACATAATAGCCAGTAGTGGAACTCTCAAACAGAAACAAGTTTGGGTTGAAGTAGATCACACCTTAGGGGCTATTTGTTTGCAATCATACGCTTTTAAATGCACTGAAAATAAATAGTAAACAACGTAACTCTCTGTAGTAGAATCTTTGATAGCTAAAATATGGAATTTATGAGAGATCAATGCTGCCACTAAACAAAGCAAATTTGTTCAATTTAATTCTAGTTATTGTAAATGGTTTTTTTTATATTTCTTTGCATTATTTTATACATTTTTAGTAAAAACATTTTTTTAAATATCAAACTTTAGGTTGATATTTAAATGTTTTTTTTTTAACTTTTTTTTCGAACACAAAATGGATGTTTAATAACCTGCATATTTATGTTATGGTATAAAATAATTTAAATGAAACAAGCACAAGTTAATATTAATAGAACGTATGTTTCCGACACGACAAAATTTCAATGTAAATTATTTGCATTGCAAGGTACATATACACAATAATATTAGAAGCAAGTGATGAGAGGACAATTTGATTCGGGGTGTGTGTGGGGGTGGGGGAGGATTTACACACGTGTTTTTGTACATATCACAAATTGATGATCTCTTAGAAGTCACACATCTATGGGGTTCACACGGGTGGGGGTCGAGCGGGGGGGGGGGGGGGCAAACCTCGACTTATGAAGACGTGGATGGATAGGGGAGGGAGGGTGGGAAAATGTAATTTCTCTGTGGATGTCATGCTTGGATGACCCTTTATACATCATAAAGATGAACATGGTTATTTGTCAAATAATTGTCGTTACAAAATATTTTCTAAAATGTTTTTTTCTTAATTATATTCAGGCGCAACGAACTGTCCAGCCATACGGAATATTCGCGTGAAAACTCCTAACATGAATCACTCGACGACCCACTACATCACCCCAGTTGTCCTTGACCTTCATTAACCTCACACCAACCTGTGAAAGTTCCGGTGATATTTTTTATGCCGCAGCCATGAAAAGTTATCACGTCATGACGCGGGGTAGTAAAACGACGTCATTCTGTGACGTACAAGCGTGGTGACTGATTCAATTCGAGAGCCCATAACGAGGCTGAGTTCCCTCGGATAGACCAACCCAAGGCATCGACACTGTGACGCGAGCAGGGGCTCAATGGGCTGTGAACTGGCCAAACATTCCGTGGTAGTTATCGCCCCTGAGGAGATAGAGGACGACGATGGCGGGAGGTTCACGGAGACGCAGATTGACACCATCCGCAGCACGTGGCCGCTGCTAGCAGGCGACTACATCCGGGTCGGCATCGAGGTCTTCACCAGGATTTTCAACGAGATGCCGTCTGTTCGGGTGCTGTTCCATTCTTTCGGGTAAGTTCTTAGAGTCGAGAAGTTCTTATAGTCGAGGTAATTTCTTACAGTCGAGTAGAAGGTTGGATAAAATAGATTTGGGGTCGACCATAAATGACATCACACTCGTAGGGGGGGGGGGGGGGGTCCGTAATTTTGTGACGGTGTGTGATGAGGGGGAGGGGGGGGGGGGGTTCAGATGGTGTGACGTCACTTTTTTGCATTATAAAAAAGCAATTTTAGAAAACGAGTTTTAGCCGATATTTCGCGTTTTAGCAAACGGTTTTAATAAATTGTAATAGGAATTGATCAAAATACTCTATTTTATCAAAGTTCTGACAAGATTTTGGAAAAATATCGATGTTTTTATAAAATTCAACAGCAATTTTGAGGGGGGGGGGGTTGTAGGCAGAGGTGTGACGTCATTTTAGGGGGGTGTCTGGATTTTTGTGACGATGTGTGACGGAGGGGAGGGGGGATTGTAAAAATCGTCAAAAAAAGCGTGACGTCATTTATGGATGACCCCTTTAGGAAAAGCCAGATCAGTTATTGTGCGTTAAGTTTGAAATGGTTAAAACATAGATTGTAAAAACAGTGGTAATTTTTTTCTAGTAAAATGTCTAAGTATGCGACAAAAAGCATTGTAAGTAATAATAAAAGTAAAATTTGGAATAAAGAAAAAAGAGTCATTAAGTGTAGTCTGGTAGAATTTTTTATATAATTTGACGGTCTTGCGCGTGACTAGTTCTGTTTCCATTTCAAATATGACTTCACCCAAATACCTAATAGTTAGTCGGTATGAGTTGCAGACTAGTTTAACTCGCTGAAGGATTGGGTTCATTAATTCTTATATATCAGGCAGGGCTATGCTTGATCAAAGATACTTAAAACGTACCCTACAAGATTTTCCGAAACCATTTTAAAAAGCATTTTTGAAGCTCATGGTTGCTAAACCTAAAAGTCTCGAGTTCGAACCCTAGGCCAGACGAGGCTCGTTAGCTGGGGAAAGCCAGTCTTCTAGGAGAGACAACTCCAAATTGCCTCAATGGCGCATAACCAGTTGACGCGTATCCTTGATTGTGATGGAGGCGTGGTCGAGTGGGCAAAAGCTCATGGTTAACATATTCGAAAAAAAGTCTCGAGTTCAAACCCTCTGGCAGATAAGACTCGATCCCTTCCATCATTAAAAATTAAGAACGAAGAAGAAGAAGGACCTGACAGAATTTTCCGGAAACCTTTGAAACAAACCAGACAAAATGTTTCGAAAACCTTTAAAACGGGCACGAAATTTTTTCCGAAAACCTTTAAAAAGGGCACGAAATTTTTTCCGAAAACCTTTAAAACGGGCACGAAATTTTTTCCGAAAACTTTTAAAACGGACCGCACAAAATTTACATCAAGAGATAAAAAAGAAGCAATTTCCCGATATAGTCGCAATGTAATGGCCGGGTTCATAATCGTAATGTACCGGGCGCATTTAGCCAGCGAACGCTAAAACACGGACCGGACATTATCCGGTCATTATCGATCCCAACATTTCCGGCCCTGAAAAACTTTTGACGTGTGTGTGTCTTTAGGTAATCCCGTGATCCATTACGTTGTGCAATCATCGTCTGGCAGTTGGTTACCTGCGGCCGTTTGTGTCAGGGGAATTATGGTTTCATTACGTCAATTTGTTTGAGGGGTGGGGGGGGGGAGATGACGGTGGTGGGGCGGGGGAGTGGGGGTAAATTGAATGGCGAATGAATTTTATCAAAATGTGAATCAAAACTGGAGCTCAAGAGTTTGAATAACAAAAATAGATCTGTAATTATTTTTTTCATAAAGATGCTGATGGTGTTGGTGGTAACGTAATTAAAGATACCCATTCGGATGTGACGGTCTGTAGGGCGGATGAAGTAGAGTTCATCTGTTTCCCTGACCTCGGCGCGTGAAGGTATAGTGAGGTCAGTTCTATGCCCAACCGTCTTTTTTTTACTTGAACGTCAGTCAGGTACCGCTCAGAGCTGGGTGGGCTCAGGGAGGTCCTACTGACCCGGCCTCAGGACCCAAGCTGACGATGTGCCACTCTTCAATATTTATTTTTACACGCTTTCCCTTCCAGATTGTTTCAACGGTTCCCATTTCACAATTCCTTAGGCGATCTACCCACCAATTCGTTGCTTTTATTGTTTGTTTTCTTATAATCCAACTTAAGATCAGCACACAAAAAATGATTTTTAAAAATTCTGTATTACCTTAATTGTCACTATACATCATATCATAACACCGCCCTTAAAGTCATACTAAACCTAACCTGAACTGGCATTTTTTCGGGCCTAGTAACAGGCAAGAAGATAACTGTATTTTTTAATGTTTCAGATTTACCGACGCCGACAACTTGGAGAGCCACCCACTGTTTCGTGAGCACGCCCAAAAATTTATGCACGTACTGGAGAGTCTGGTGGAGAACTTAGAGACACCGGAAGTCATCCAGCCCCACCTGGTGGCCCTCGGCGCGCGCCACGCGGCCATCGACGGGTACGACCCGGAGTACTTCCGGTTCTACAGCAAGTGTCTCCTGGAGGTGTGGGAGATGGAGCTGGGGGAGGAGTTCATCATCGAGGTCAAGGAGTGCTGGCGCCAGCTGATTGGCTACATCGTCCGGTGCATGGTGCACGGCTACCACATCTGCCGCACCGACCAGCTGGAGAGCTTCGTCAAGGAGACGCAGAAGGAGAAGATCGAACCCACGTGACCTTCTTCTAGCTCGTGCAGCGCGTCTTGTACACAAGACGCATGCGCTAACATTAACTACTGAAACGGCTTTAAAACTTCAAAAACATTTCAATTTTGTTAAATTTCCTGGTAAATAGGACTGGTAAGTAGGTCACTAACCAGTTATACGGCTCAATAAAACCTGCATGAGCCATAGAACTGGTTTATGACCTACTTACCAGCCCTATTGTGAGCTAAAAGACGTTGATTTACTGCCATTAATACTTCTGCTCACTTCTATGAGTCCAACTACGTGTATTTTAAATAAAGTCTATTTGGCAGTTTTGTGTATGACTTGGGTGACGCATTGATTAGCGAAGTAAAAAATAAAACTATTCCTGCCATGTAAATAAAGATTATACCGGTGTAAAAACCCAATAGCTGTATGTTGTATCTAGTATAGACGGTTGTTGAACCACATGTTAACACTGGCATTTAAAACTTCATGATGATAAAATTATGTATTATATATATTACAAAGGTGAAGCAAGTTAGTAAAAGCCATGTTATTTTTGTGTCCATTAATAGATATTCCTAATTATTTTTCACTTAAGAATTAAGAATATTCTGGAAAATGTATCACATGTTATTTTCAGTAATTATTTGTCTATTTTAAAAAAAAATGTGCCGTGTATCTATGGTCTTCGGTCATGTAGACAATAGCAGTGTTTCTACCAGACTTATTTCTCCGGGGGGGGGGGGGGGGCGGACAGTGTTAAAAGTATATGTTTTCTATATAAATTCCATTTGGTTCGGGGGGGGGGGAGTAGACTTTCTTCGGGGACCCAACCCCCCTTGAAGAGTTGCCTGGAAGAAACACTAGACAATAGGCCTGCTTTATTTACGGTTTTAAGAACGTATTTTTTTTAGAAAAGTAGTCATGTGAAGAACATAAATATTGATAAAATACATTGTTTAAAAATGATTGTTTATTAAAATCGCTCAAGGATTGTTGATTTACAAAACAAAATTGAATGTTTCGACCTTTGGTCTCCTACCCGTGATGTAGCTTACAGACATTTCGTATACAATTACTTCTGTAGTATACATTCATATCGTATACAAATATTTCTGTAGCATACATTCATATCGTAAACAAATACTTCTGTAGCGTACATTCATATCGTATACAGATACTTATGTAGCGTACATTAATATCGTATACAAATACTTCTGTAGCATACATTCATATCGTAAACAAATACTTCTGTAGCTTACAGTCATATCATATACAAACACTTATGTAGCATACATTCATATAGAATACAATTACTACTGTAGGCTACAGACATATCGAATACAAATACTTCTGTAGCTTACATTAATATCGAATACAAATACTTCTGAAGATTACACACATAATTATCAAATACAAATACTTCTGTAGCATACATTCATACCGAATACAAATACTTCTATGGAAGGTCATACAGAAGCTAACATTTGAGCTAGTATCGTAAAGTAATCCTACCCACGATATATAAACTAGCCAAACTGTGGTTCAAACAAGTTAAAAGCAAGTAGACCTGGGCTACACGTAGATTTTTATTTAAAACAAAATTCTGGCTTGTTATATAACATTATTCACTGCCCATTACACATGCTGATTAATGACATCTGTGTCTGTTGATACCATAGTTTTCCTAGTGTTGTTTATAAGCAGAAAATTAAAATGTGTGTCTTTCAACACTGTCATTTATTTGTGTAAACTGTCTGACTGCTGTCTCTGTGTGGATATGGACAGTTTTTCTACATTTACTGTGACACATTCAAGTTTAAAGCTGGAAAACATCGTTTATTTTACATCTAAACAGCTTAAACTTAGAGACTGGTGTATTGTCATCAGAGATACTCATCGATTTTGTACAAGATGAATAACGGATGGCAAGATTCCACGGATCCACACAGAAATCAAATCAAAAGTCAAAATATTAAATAATTTTAATAATTTATTGTTTACATTGTGTTTAGACATCCAATATCACGGCATTTTTTTAAGGTAGCTAAATGTATTTGCGCTGTATCTGTGCTAGGTGTATGTCGGCGGCCAGTGTGGTGACGCCGATGAACGATGATTGGCTGTCCAGTTTAAAATTCTCCAACACGTGACCGGGGCCGGAAACGGAAACCTGCAGGCTATCCCCAGCCTCGAGCTGCCTCAGGTGACCTGCATGTACAATAAATTATAATCGTTACGATCGTTCAATCATTTGGGGAGGGGGGGGGGAGAAGGATGGTGGGGCTGGGGGCAAAAACTGATTTGTGGCTGATTATCATTTGACATGCTTTCATCAGGTTTGGTGGCGCTGTGTGGCGTTCGTATACCTTAACTTTCGAGTGGATTGTTTAGATTTTCTGAACTCACCTAGACCCATGGCACGAACTAGGCTAATGACATACCACCGAAAGTAAACAGGGTCACTAATGACATACCGCCGAAAGTAAAGAGGGTCCCTAATGACATACCACCGAATGTAAAGAGGGTCCCTAATGACATACCACCAAAAGTAAAGAGGGTCCCTAATGACATACCACCGAATGTAAAGAGGGTCCCTAATGACATACCACCAAAAGTAAAGAGGGTCCATAATGACATACCACCGAATGTAAAGAGGGTCCCTAATGACATACCACCGAAAGTAAAGAGGGTCACTTAGGAGATTCCGCCCAAAATAAAAACAAGGGTCACTAACTCGTGTAAGCGGTCTGGACCGCCTGGTGGCACCTGGCACAGCAGGTGTGAGCTGACGTTGCTAGGATACTGGACGCTTCCTCTGTGGGGCTTGTTCGGTGGAGGTGGAGGTACAACGTCTGGGGAAAGATGAAGTTGGCTTGGCTGTACAGTATCTCATGGTTAGGGTTAGAGTTGAAGTTAGCTGTACAGTTAGGTGTACATGTATTGCTGATGTTATCTTGGATTATTGTTGAGGATATGGTTAGGGCAATTGCTCAGGTTATGTTTAAAGCTATTGCTGAAGTTATGTTTAGGGTTATTGCTGAGGTGATGTTTAGGGCTATTGTTGTGGTTAAAGGTTTTAGTCCTGTGTCATTTCCAGCACATGTCTCAGCGACGTCAAACAGCCGAGCTCTGATTGGGAAATTTTGTCACGATACTAAAGCTATGTTGGGATTTTGTCACGATACTACGACTCGATAGAACCGATTCTGCTAGGAAATGGTAGCGATTATGTGACCGATTCAGCCACCAACCACTTGATGCCAGAGCAAAACTTGATGCGCAATTCTTGTAGGACACTAGTAGCGTCAGTAAATGACGTCACGTCTTTAAATTTACCCAACCCTCGATGGTCATTAAAAGACAATCAACCCCCACCTCTTGTCTCGATTGACGTCATTAGACTTTGCCTGAAATTGCAATAATTAAATACAAACGAACATGCTCTTTCCATTTTTTAATTTTGAAAAAAATACAAAATGGGCTAGGGTCATAATTTATAGCAACCCTCTCGCACGAAATGCACTATTAACAAATTCAGTATCTCAAACCCACCCCTACCTTTCCCATGTTAGCATGTGACTTTGGTTACAGATAGTGTTTCTTTCTGGCATTTATCTAGACCACGTCCATCTCCCTCCTCCTCCAAGAAGAAGAAAAAAATGTAAATGTGTACTGTAAACATTATTTCTCGGTAGTTTCGAGCGTGCATCTCCCCCTTCACCCCTACCACAGGAAGTTGCAAGAGTCTTCTCCCCCCTCGGAGAAAAATGAAACCGTTTACGGACAGCCCAACTCGACTACCCCCCTCCCCCCACCCTCCCATACGTCATTTCCATGACACTTACCTTGTTCAGTGTGTCCAAAGGGAGACTGAGATTGTACACCACCGAAGCATAAATGTAATACATGCCTGTAGAAGATAATATCAGCCAATCAGATCGAACGTTACAGACGGACAACATGCACGGAAATAGTTACGTTGTTAACTACTGGCCTAGCCAGTCTGATGCACGACATGGCGAGATAATTCGCGAGATTTGACGTTAAGCCGTCGCGTGCCGCGGTTAGTTAGATCCTGACCTGGATGCAGGATAACGAGGCTGTTGGGTGTGACCTTCACCTCTTTCACGTGCTCGAACGCGGGGTTGATGCTGGACTCGTTCAAAGCGAGGAACAGGTTGTTTATGACGTCATCTGGAGAGGAAAAAAAATAAAACGGTCACGTGATTTTATTTATAGAACTTTAAAAGGTCACCGTGGGCTAACCGAGTGGTACTCACCTGTGATTTGACTGAGGTTATTCTCTGGTACAATATATTTCAGTGCTGACGCACGGGGGAGCCTAAGTTCTAAAAGAAAAAAAAATTGTCTTAACTCAAAGATTCGTCCCTGAGTTTGGGTGTCCCCCACATACTTTATGTGGGTGTCCCCCACGCACTTTATGTGGGGAGTTGAGACCACTTGTTGTTTATGGGGTCGGCGTGTTCGAGTCAGTAAAGCTCATGGTTACTAAACCGAAAAGTCTCGAGTTCGAACCCTCGGGCAGATGAGGCTCTCTTCTAGGAGAGACAACTCCAAAATCAAATAACTGCTGCCTTGTAGTTTGTTCTTGGTTGGACAAAGGCTATGGAAGCAAATCCAGAAAGAAAAGCAGGCTGAAATCGGAGTCAATGGCCTCAATGGCGCATAACCAGTTGACACGTAATCCTTAATTGTGATGGAAGCATGGTCGAGTCGGCAAAGCTCATGGTTGATAAATTTGAAAAAAAAGTCTTGAGTTCAAACCCTCTGGCAGATAAGGCTCGATCCCTCCCAACACTAAAAATTAAGAACGAAGAAGAAGAAGAAGTTTATCCCAAGCCCTAGTTAAGGTTTGATTTGGAATAAGTGAATAATATGAATAATCTGAGTCGTGTATAAGACAAATTCACAAACGTGTGATATTCTTTAAGTTACAGCATTTATACAGCATTTTAAAAAAAAACAATATATTGCCGGAGTTTCTCTCAGACATTACAACCCCTCCCCTCCACCCCCCATTCCCATCCGCGCGTGGTCAAAATAGCAAAAATATACAATTTATATCGAAAATATACACTTTAACATTGTCTACTCCCCCTTCCGGGTTTCCAAGTGTCGTCCACCCCCTCCCCACATGGAGGAAAATATACAACAAAAAGTAGGGGTGGAATATCGACTATCCATAATTGATCTAATCTTTAACATTAATATCTACGTTAGAGCAGGGAAATAAACATAAATCAAATGAAAGAAAAAAATAATAATTTAGGAATTGTTGATTTTTTTTTTGGGGTAAAGTAATAAATTACCAGTGTTAGGAAAAATGTAATGTGGGACCCCCCCCCCCCCACCACCATCACCACCTCCCTGAGGGCATATAACTAATGTGTCATTGCCTTGAACTATTGATGCATTGCCAAATGGAAAACACAAGATGCGATAGGGTGACTAGCACTAATGAGACACAGTAGATTTAGTAGGATAATGAAACGCCGTAGCATCTAGTAATTAATCTGCAGTCAGTGCTACACTCACAGATATTTTCCCGATGTTCGGGTCCCAAGCAGTATCCACTGTGGTGAGACATTGATAATCATAGATTTTCTTACCTGAATGGATCATCTAGGGTTAAACATCTTACCTAAATCAATGGCCTGTGAAAACAAAAATCATTTACAAATATTTATATATTCAACTACAGGAACAAACACTTAAAATACGATCCAATAAATAAAAATCACAAAACAAAATAAATGAGATTTCGATTATAATATCTATATCTATAAAAAGAATCCTCTTTAGACCTAATGGATCATTAGGCAGATGAAGTAGAGTTTATGTTTCTTGACCTCGGCATATAAAGGGAAGGTGTGGCCAGCACTTTGCCCAGCCGCCTTTATTTTCCCAAACAGAGCTGGGTGGTTTCGGGAACATGCTTCTGATTTGGACCCGGATTTGAACTCGAGACTTTCGGTTTTGCAGTCGGTTTTGCAGCCTAGCACTTTACAGATTAGGCCACGCCGTCCCAAATAACTATAATATATAAATAATTATTAATTAACTTTTTAGAAGACTAAGTTTAGCTTTGTTCCGTCATGAGATGCAATCAATGCCCTGTTACCAGATCTAGAATCGTCCCATAATCTTCGGCACAGATATGACCACTGTCCGCATCGTAGTGAGTCTTGGTCATCTCCCTGCTGACCAGTGTGACGTAGTTTAAGTTAGAGCTGACGCAGAACTTTTCACCGAAGTCACCATTCTGTAAAAAAAAAAACCCACTTCCAACTTCTACATGGATTCTGCACTTAAGGGCCGCCCCATAGTATGATGCATGTATCTGTCAATTTGGGACGTCAATTAGTGACATACATGTATCTGTTGTCTTTGGGGGTCACATAGTGACATACATGTATCTGTTATCTTTGGTCAGTTTTGGGACGTCACATAGAGACATATATGTATGTGTTGTCTTTAGGACGTCACATAGAGACATACATGTATCTGTTATCTTTGGTCTATTTGGGACATCACATCGTGACATACATGTATCTGTTATCTTTGGTCAATTTGGGACGTCGCATAGTAACATATATGTATCTGTTATCTTTGGTCACTTTGGGACGTCACATAGTATATATGTATCTGTTGTCTTTGGGACGTCACATAGTAACATACATGTATCTGTTGTCTTTGGTCACTTTGGGACGTCACATAGTAACATATATGTATCTGTTGTCTTTGGGACGTCACATAGTGACATACATGTATCTGTTATCTTTGGTCACTTTGGGACGTCACATAGTAACATACATGTATCTGTTGTCTTTGGGACGTCACATAGTGACATACATGTATCTGTTATCTTTGGTCACTTTGGGACGTCACATAGTAACATACATGTATCTGTTGTCTTTGGTCACTTTGGGACGTCACATAGTAACATATATGTATCTGTTATCTTTGGTCACTTTGGGACGTCACATAGTATATATGTATCTGTTGTCTTTGGGACGTCACATAGTAACATACATGTATCTGTTGTCTTTGGGACGTCACATAGTAACATACATGTATCTGTTGTCTTTGGTCACTTTGGGACGTCACATAGTAACATATATGTATCTGTTGTCTTTGGGACGTCACATAGTGACATACATTTATCTGTTAACTTTGGTCAATTTGGGATTTCAAATAGTGACATCCTTGGTAAATTTACAATTAACTGTGCTAATTGTTTTTTTTTTCTTGAAATAACAATGCAAGTGTGGATTAATCTCAAACACACTCCATAACAAATCCCCTTCCCCTACTTTAAGAGTAGGCCTAGCTATTGATTAAAACATTTCATTTTGTACTGTAATAAGCGCCAGTTCAAGTAAACATAAAAATACCTTAAACAGTTTCCCCACTGTTGAAATGAAAAGGATCAGGGTAATCCCGGTCAATACACTGATGACAGTGATGACAACCGTACGTTTCTTTTCAAGACAATCTAGTTCTAATTTGTCGCATGAAAGAGAAAAATGGAGGTTAACAATTTTACGCGGGACGTCCAGAAATTGCGACACAAGGCTGCTGCTAGAGGAGGGGGGGGGGGGGCAGTTTTATCTTATGCCGAATATACATTGTAATTTTAAAATAATAATATTTATAGGTTGGGAGGTTGTGTGTTGGAATATTTATAGGTTGGGAGGTTGTGTGTTGGAATATTTATAGGTTGGGAGGTTGTGTGTTGGAATATTTATAGGTTGGGAGGTTGTGTGTTGGAATATTTATAGGTTGGGAGGTTGTGTGTTGGAATATTTATAGGTTGGGAGGTTGTGTGTTGGAATATGTATAGGTTGGGAGGTTGTGTGTTGGAATATTTATAGGTTGGGAGGTTGTGTGTTGGAAATGTGGTGAAGGTTATAAAGAGGCTAACGTCATATATGAAAGGAGATCCCTACATACACACACAACACCAGAGGCGTAGCGATCCCTCCCGGCGCCCGGGGACAAACTTTAAATATGGCGCCCCCCTATACCTTTTTTTAAAATATTTGTAATTCAAAACTGCAGCTAAAATGAGGTTTTATTTTTTTCCCAACCCCTTTTGGCGCCCCTAGGGTCGGCGCCCGGGGACATATGTACCCCCTGCCCCCCCCCCCCCTCCATCGCTACGCCTCCGCACAACACACACACCACCTCCAGTGACAAGCCTTTTAAATCTAAATTTAATTCTTACAATCACCATCATAGACATCGTCATAATTCCTTTTCGTTCCCGATCCCCTCCCCATTCATTTAGCATCCAGTTGTGTGTTCAACAGCGTTTGTTTAACTAGATTTTCTTTTCATGGGTGGAATCCTACCAACCAAATTAAGCCCACTTTTAGTAATGACGTGAATTACGATTAGCTGTATAAGGCACGCCCACAAATTTTTAAAAGGCCATATCTTAGCTCCTACTGAAGCTGGACACACAAAAATTGGTATCGATGTAATGGGGAAAAATATTTTAAAATTCTGGTATAATTTTTTTTGGGGGGGGGGGGGGACATATGTCCCCGGGCGCCGACCTTAGGGAGGGCGCCAAAATGGGTTGGAAAAACAAATTGAAAGTTTGAGGGGGGCGTGCAAATAAAAAGTTCGAGGGGGGTGCAAATCGAAAGTTTGTCCCCAGGCGCGGGAAGGGTCGCTACGCCTCTGTGTGCAACACAAGTTTGATGTATGCGATAAAAACGTGAGAAATATTATCATGTGGAGAAGACGACTGTTTCAGTATATAACAGCCAAGGATATTGAACAACAGTTTCCACGATCTGAAAAGGTGTGTCTGCGTTCTATTGTTTCTTTTCCAGGTCAAGTGATAATTAGCTTTGTTTATCAACTCCCCCCTTGCTTTTTTAATAATATTAAGTCGTTATTCGCTAATTTTCGCTTCATTATATTTTTATTTTTTTTAGCATTTATATTTTAATGGAAGCGTCTGAGAAGGGAAACAACTCAAGTTGATTAGTTTCGTCAAGAAAAGAGCGGGTTGTTGTTCTTGACGTTTTATTTGACATGAATACCGAGAATATGATGGCATTTGATAGAGCAAAAAAAAGGTTTTGTTACTGATACTAAAACAGAAAATAAAAATGCTGCTATTTAATAAGAAATGTCACCCTAGGAAACAAGCTTGTTCCACAAATAGCTAATATAAAACTAACTACACCAGTGTGACGACATGCAACTAGACCTATAACATTCAAGTAGCTACAGAAAGTGTTGAAAGATAACACATATGTGACTGGTTGAAATTCTGCAAGATCGGGTGTATGTGTCTGTATATTTTTTTAATGTGATATTTGTGTCAAACACACCGAATGTTTAAAATATAAAACTTCATTCATCTCTCCAGGGACAAGAGTAAATAAATGTAGACTGTATCTCTATACCCCCCCCCCCCACACACACACTCACACACAGACAAACAATAAAGAAAATATATGTTTTACCGGTGGCCGCCCCCACATCCCTCGAAAGTTTCAAGTGAGTGCACCCCACCCCCTCCCCGGGAGGTTAAGCCACCCCATTCCCCAAGAGAAAAAAATGTCAGAAAGAAACCCTGCCCTGGATTTGATTCCTACCAATCCCCGACCTAATCATCATGCTTTATGGGATGTGGCCGACTCCTAGGATATAATTCTGAATGACACATCAAGGATCTAAATATTAGATTTTTAGATGTTCATATGTGTATATTTGCAAGTGAATACAGTAATAATAATTAAAAAAAAACAACAACTCTTATTATACATCTTATACAGCCTGCACCTACATGTAGGTAGGTTTCTCCCCCCCCCCCCTTCCCCCCGTCCTTGTGTATAGCCCACTAGGAAGTAAACAATGACTTGCAAACAACACACACACAAGGTTTGCCCTGAAACGTGCCTGTTTTATTTATTTACAGTCTAGCCAAAACGGTGTTTTCTATACCACAGCACAATTACACCCCCTTATGTGTGTGTGTGCTGTCCTGCTTTTGTTTTAACGTGTGCTACACAGAGAACATGATTATGATAGAGTGTGTTAAGTGAACCGTATCGAATCGCTCAAGCATTGAACAGGATACGGCGCAGACGGTTGTCGAATGTAAACAACCGAATATTGGTCGAAACCCAACACATGTCCTCCCTACACCCAATAAAAATCTAAAGGTGACATAATTTTTTTATAAAAACTTACTGAACGGCATTCTCTGGCAAACTTCATTATCGCTATTTTTATCTGACCTTCTTAGACCAAGGGAGATAATCGAATAAATTAGTTACGCTATTCTAACCCTCATTGTAAACGGATACTGAAAAGGATGGGTTAGACTTCTTGATAGAAATAGAATTTTTTTAACACATGCAAGAATGTCTTAGCTTATCCGGGTGTGTAAAACACAAGTTACAGCATACAAAAGACAGTCGTCTGCAACTTTTTAAGGTTACCCCAACAGAAAGAAAACGAAGAGTTGCGGGACTTGGGATCAGCAGTTCAATGTTGCTACATTATTCATCCTAAGTATGAAGTTGTGTCTGTTCATATCTGCATAACTTCCACATTCTAAGCTGACGCAATCGAGATCAATGTTATGCATATCGATTAGTTTAAAATATTTGCTCTTGTGTTCAAGTATTGTAAAGAAAAAAAAATCAATCTCTGGTCACGTGTTAAGTCTTAGATGTTTGTGTACAGTCACAAAAAGGATATCGATCTTGTAGGCCAAGTAACTTGAATCAGGTGTCGGGTTCGGGGGTAGAGTTCAAACTTCAACGGTTACAACAACTCGGGCGTGTGGCCTTATTAAACTCAAAGATACGTCTATGGCTGTTTTATAGGCTATTATCGTCATTTTATTCAATCAACGTTTGCTTCATGCTGGCAAATGTGAATAGTTCTAGTGTGTACAAGCAAGACACGTGTGGTGTCGCGTTAATCAATGGTGTCTGTACTAGAACACCATCTGAACCATGGAGCAATGGGACACCATGTCAGTGTCACGTGACTCTTGTAATAAACATCAGTGACGCAATGGTGACTACACAACATGAAACCATTTGGAAGGTAGTTAAAACGTGACAGATGTTGCATTATTGGTGTTAAATGCAATCACCAGTAAAACGCCACTTCGGATGTTATAATAATGGTATCAAGTATAATTTTAAAGGTATCACTAAGATGACCTATAACACCACTCTAAATGTCAGGAATAATTTTAATAGTGTCACTGATATGATTAATTGCACCTCTCCTAATACCATATAAAGGGTGTCAGGTTATAATTTTAATGTCAGTGACATGACCTATAGCACCACTGCAAAGGTCATAATAATGGTGTCAAGTATAGTCCATACAGTGTCAGTGCACTGACCAGTAGATCAGCACTATGACCTGTCATGTAAGGCATACAACACGCCTACCTGTAGAGCCTAAGATAATCTTTTAACCAATGATAACACTTCAGTATTCAGTGTGTTGTCTTAACAAGGTCATAGATAGCACCACACTTTTTTTTTTTCGTTAGTTAATTAGTGTCATCTTTAGGCATGCTTCAAAGTCATCCAGGGTAAACACCTACTAGATAATTAATAACCCTACACCTACAGTATACTTTAGTACAACAGCAGCCTGACACAGTTAACATTGAGTCCTGTGTAGAGCAGCACTTCTCAGCAATAATCTTATAGGCAGATGTGTATACAAGATATAAATTTTGCGCTGATAAAGGCATATATTAGATTTCACGTCCTGTCAATGCAGGTGCAGGATATTGTTACATTTTATCTGGTGTATTAATTTCACCCCCCACCTATAATTTTTGTTTTTAAAGTAGCAGGCTAGGCCAACATTTTCAAAGCCAAAAGAACTCATTTTTTTGTTAACACCAAAGTTATAAATTAGTCTGACAAATGCAACACTACATCACTAGCTTATAAAGTTATATTGCCAGCCCACCCCCCAAAAAAAATTACTCTACCATAAATTTTTTTCAATTAAAAACAAAAATGCTTTTCTTAAAAGCTTAAGGTGCTATGAAGTATCATTAGAAACTGATGGTTTAGTAATAAATGACATCAATTCAACTAAGAAAGAATTCAACGAGACAAAGAAGTATAAAGGGGATTAATACTTTAATAATGCTGTTACTGACTTCTTAACAACAAAAACACAACACAGGCTAGCTAGTAAAACTAAAAACAATGTTACGTTCAAGCTTTAGTTGGAGAGAAAAAAATGTGTGGTTTGGTTTTATTGCATTTTTTTTTCTTACATTAGTGGAACAATACATCAACCAAACATGCTGTTAAACAAATTGACATTTGGATGACAGTATATTAAAACTTATTTTACAAGATGGTGACTGATTTACGGAGAAGAAAAATCTAAATACTACCTGTATTTCATCAGCAAAGTGTGTTCTCTAACTACCAATATAAAAGTCATTTACACTAACACAGTTGGCCTTACCAGTATACAAAGATGACATCTAACAAATAAACAAGATGACATTTAAGAACTATTTTAAAATGTCATCAAACAACCAAACAAGATGACATCTAGCAACCAAACAAGATGACATCTAACAACCAAACATGATGATATCTAAGAACTAGAAAAAATGTCATTTAACAACCAGATAAGATGACATCTAACATAAACAAAAAATCCATCAATCAACTAGACAAGCAAGTTCACAACACTGGTATTAGTAATGATCAAGTTAAAACTGTTTCAGTATGTAAGAGATTGACCAGCCAACACTACACTCTGTCCACTCTAAGCCACTTGCTGACCAGCTCACCACAGGCTTTAAGCAACAGATACTTCATCTCATTAACATGTACTATTTGCATATGTTAACTAATCAACAAAAATTAATTAGCTGCCACTACAGCAAGGCAACAAAAGTATGTAACAATGGTCACTCAAAGCACAAGTCATGTACACACAAGTCACATGTGGCACTGACAGTCACAGCATGTGTCAGTCACACTTGTCACAGCATGTCAGTCAAACTTTACCTGTCACAGCGTGCTTCAGTCTCACTTTACTCCAGTCACTGCATGTGTCGCTATAATTTAATCTATTTCCTATTTATCATAATTGATTCTTCCTATAAAATGATAAACAACTCACAGTTTGTATTTTGTATTATTATTATCCTACAAAATACTCTCTATAAATAAACAGAACAAACTATTCGTGATGCAGCAATTTAAAAATGTGTATTTTTACAGTCTTTAAAACCAGGGAGAAATAATTGAACTTGACAAGGTTGTGCAGCAGATGTTAAAGCTGGATGGATCTTAAGTCTGACAAGTTACAACACAGAAGCAATACATGTTCAGTAAAGCACCATTAGAATAAATCCACACCATATAAAAGAAAACAAGGAAAATGTTAGATACAGTTGTTATAAAACACCCAACCAAAACAAGTTAGTCTTTAAAAAATTATGATATAATTTTCAAAAGGGCTAATTATATAAATAAAACTAAAAGTTGAAATGCGCAAGTTAATACTCAAAAAATAATAGACTACAATTTTAAACTAATAAGACAAAAGAGTAACAAATTAGTTATTTTTGACAACACTTGCATTGAAACAAACACCAAAATATCACAGTGTTCGAAAAATAGTTAACCAAAGCCGAATCGTCAACTAGCAAAATTTGAGCATTTAAACAGGAAGTTGTAATTGTGGAATTTTAGTCAGTCAACTACAGAAATTATAACATTTCTAAACAAAAACACAAGGTAAATCAAATTTACAATGCAAAATTTCTTTATTTTTGTTTATTTCCTAATAAAAATGTTAAATCTGCCAGAAATGTGTACACACATAGAATAAAAGGTGACAACACTGGCAGCCTGCACCTAACTGACCTTGACTCATCAGTTATTTCAGTGGTGTTACAATATGAGCATTAGAGAAGAGAAAGCTCTGCTTAAATAGGTGGTTATTCTTTTTTGTAGACTATCATAACAATGTAACTAACCAAACTAATAAATATTTTGTGCTAGTGATAAATACTTGAATATACAACTCACAAATAATAATTTTAAAAATCTATCATTCAATTCCAAACATTAAAAAATCACACAAGCTCACACAATTATGATTCTTGAGAATGAATTATTGTAATGCATATCCCGATCCACACATGAGATCTAATAAACTTTACCTCACATTTTTATATCCAAACAACCAGAAACAAATTTAACAAGAATGGTCTCTTGAATTTTTAGGTCAACGTAACAGAGAAAAAAAACCTAAATACCTTATGGTTTCAATTTTAGTATAAGTTTAGCAATTTCTGTATAAAAACTTTAAAAATGAATTTTAAAATGGTATCAGCATTACATAGGCATCTATCTACCAAAAGGCTAAAAATCAAATTTCAACATAGGTAAGTGTTTGGTGTTCAATGGTGCTTTAAAACTAGTGAAACAAGTCAACTTCAAATGAAGCAATCTTAATTAGGCTGTCTGAATAGCCAGTCTAATTTTATTAACAATATTTTAAATTACTCAAAATTTATGATTGAAATCATTAGTTACATTATTTTAAATCATGTTTTTGATGTTACAGAATATTTGATTGCATTTCCCCATGACAACAACGCAAGAAAAAGCCATTTTTGTTTGCATAATATCTGTTGCATTAATTAGAACCAAAATGTATTTTTTAATGATGACAACTGATCACCAATGAGAACCACCGTTTTAAAAACTAAACAAGCTTATAAAAACACCCAGACTTAAAAAAGGCAGCACGTGTTGTAGTTCCAGAAACACTAAAGTTCCCCAAGTACCAGTCCATGATGTTACCCCAGGAACTCATTTTTACATGGTCTGTATAACATTTCATTGACCAACTACTTCTAAAAACTGCACTGGCTCAGTGCTTAGTTTAAATGGTGGATTTCACCTTGGTGTCTGGCTTGACAACATAAAACTTATCAAACTCTTCAACCTCTTTCTTGATTTCCAGCTCGCTGTAGGGAGGTGGGTGAGCAATGGCGTGGACCAGTGGGAATTCCCCTGGGTTCTCATGGACAACTTGATCCACAAACTGAGCATGGTATTTCTTTCTGTCTTCATCTGTCATATAATAGCTGGGGGGGAAAAGTGGCATATAAAATAAATGGGAAAAGGAACAGGTCCTTCTTTGTTGTCTGTATCAAGCTTAGTTTTTTTTTCTATTATTGTTATTAGGTTTAGAAAATTGCACTAGTAGTAAATATGTTTGATACAGTTCAGTTAGAGAACACACCAGTACCAAGCAAATTTTCTTATTTAGAATTCTAAAACACTTGGGTAGAGGTGATGACACAATGAGTTAAAATATTGTGAAAGACCATTGGGTGAAACTTACTGGTAGTTTATAAACCTGGCTCCCTGAGTTAGCTGTGCTACTTCATTTGTGAAGTGACAAGACAGAAGAAGAAGATTCCGTGGGATGACCTTCCAGGCAAAACGCATGAACAAACATGAGTATATAGACAGAGCTGAAAGTAAACAGGTATTAAAACGTGTATTGAGCAGCTTAAATGATAAGAGTATTAATGAGTAAGTTTGTTTAACCAAATATAATGTTCAAAATTTGACTTTCCATGCATTTCTGATTAATTGCAAAGCTTACAGTATATATTTGATGTTTTAAATATTTTAATAAATTCATCTGATATCTTATTGCAGCTTCTTCACTTAAAATCAACTAGAATGCATGGTCTTAAATGAACCAGTATGGCAGAATAACTTACCAAGTGTCATTTTTCCACTAATAATTTCAGGGTTCTTTTGAAGGTCGCCAAGCGCAGCTAATGGCAAGCCCCAGTTTGCCACTAAAAGACAGATTTCAATTTTAAATTTTGTTACATACATTACTTTCACAAAAAATGTGGTACAGCTTTAATTTGTTAGAAATGTAACTCTAAGATTAAAATATAATATAATGTCAATTAAGAATAAAGGCAATTAAAAAAAAAAAAAAATTTAAATTTAAATAATTTACCTGGTCCCCAAAAATGCTGAAAAGATAAAATTTTGATAATAATTATTCGACACAATACTTTAAAATTTTAATTGAATAAAAGGATAAAGGCCTACTTTGTTTCTAAAACATTTTAAAAACATTTATATACTTATATAGGCCTATGCATAAGATTTGAAAATAAAAAAAGCTTTTGCACTCTTAAGTTTAGATTAAAAGTTAAAAACAACTTACTGTGCTGCAAATCCACCATGTTTTTGAAAATAGAGGAAAGAATGAATATAAATTAATTAATGGAAGAATTACAAAATTCTAAAATCTAAATTATGTATTGCAAATTCACTTTATGTTTAACTTCTAAACCATACCACAAAATGAGTTTAAGTGAACATTATATTTTTATTGTGGTGTCCATGTAGAGAATTATTTATAAAGATTGTAGTAAATTCCTACTTTATTGATTAAGTTAAACAATTTAGAGAAAACTAAATAAAACTGATCAAATAATAAAATAAATGTAGGCCTAAACAACTGTAATTAGATCTAGTCCTAGACTAAAAAATGTAATAAACCTTAAAATAAGTTAAACCAAAATGAATACTTGGCCCTTATCTAAATACAATCAATCTTGTTATGTTACTTCAATAGCACAATTTGGTCTAATTATATACTAGCAAAGTTGGGGAACTAGGGGCCTAATTTGAGTTCCCCATCCAACCTAGATCCAGTTAAGTTCACTTTGCTCCACTAATTCAGAGTTAACAGAAGTCAGACACATACGCGACAAAAAATTTGTGATTATATTTTTTAGTGCAGATGATACAACTATTGAGAAGGGTTCTGTGAATGCGCATATGGAACTGGTGGGGTTTGGTACCTCCAAAACTGTTAAGAACCACTTTCAAGTGCAATATGGAATATAGTCTTCCAAAAAGAGGTGTGTTAGGTTGCTTGTAGTAGTAATGTTATAGTTATCTCTAGTTTTATGGTCAGACATAACTAATAAGTTAGGGTTACGTTACGGTTAGTTAATAACAGTTAGGGTTTGGGCCTCTTTAGGGCTTAGGGCCCTTAGTTACTCTATAGTTAGTCCTTCTCAGCTATGAATGATGATTCAAGAATCATTGTCGATTAATGATTGATGGTGGTGCCAACAGTGGTGGTAAAACTTGGGGATAGGGTTAGAAGTAGTTACTACTACTACAGGACTAGAATCTAGTCTAGTTACTACTCTACTTAAACTACTAGTTAGCACTGTCTAGTCTAGTCATAATTTAAATTGTATTAAATAGGCCTAGATCTAGTAGATCTATTATCTAGAATAATTGGATGATTACCAGTGTTCGTGGATAATGGAATCTTTAAAAAAGGGGTGTTGGGTTGTTAGTGGTATTGTAATCTGGACTAATTTTATGGTTAGAAATTAGGTAGGACCAGGGTTGGGGTTAGGGACAGGGTTAGCATTGACATTAGTTTAGCCAGTCATAAGTGTATTTACTATTTAGTATTTAGTTAACTACCAGTAAATGATGAGTAACCTAACACCCCTTTTTTAAAGAAGATTCCAAATGATTATCATGATTATGTATGGGGCACCGGACATTCTCCCCTTTTTTAAAATTTAGATCTACAATTCTAGAATCTAGAATTTCTATATCTAAATCTAGAATGAAATCTAGATCTAGATCTAGATCTATATAACTAAGTGAATGAGTCGTATCCGACGTATCGGCATCGTAAAGTCGTGAACTGAGTAAACTAAAACTCGAGCTCGAAGGTAGAGACTAGAGAAAGATGAAAGAAGATAGAAGTACAAGAGAGATAGAAAAAAGTTATCCAATTAAACTGTATAAACTTGTTAAAAATCTAATCATAGGCGTAGAAATACTGAAGAGGGCATATCAATATAATTTTCAAATGATTACTCAAAGTTTCGCATTGAACATACCTCGTTATCCAGTCTCTAAACTCCTTAGTCCTCACATACTTCAGTAGAGCTGCCATTTTGCTACGAGGTCGACCTTGGCTACTAGATCTACTGTAAATTCTGAATCGGAACAATTGTAACACAACATTGGTTTGTTATGATAGGCCATAACGGTTCTCGGATTGCATGTCTATTTGTGCCCAAAAATTGGGAATTAGGCCTAATGGTCTGTAAAAAGTTTCTTTCAGGCATCTCTTCTGAGGGTGCCGAGGGGGGGGGGGGGGGCAAGTCTACCGCCCTCCCCGAACGAAATAAAAAAAATTGTATAGAAAATTACAAAAAAACATATTTTAACCATTGTTAATCCCGGAAATTTAAGTGCTTCCCACAGCAAGACACAAATGTCATACCCACCCCTAACTCTAACTTTACTATACCTATGCCTATGCCTATTGTATAAACTTAGGGAACTGTTAAGTGCACTTCCCGGGCAGCGCACCGGCGGTAGTGCGGGTGCTCCGAGGTTGCCCAGCGGCTACAATGACGTCCTCGATAGCCCTCATATATATGGTTGGTCGCGGAGGTGTGTTCTTTGTAACTAACAAGTTTATTTTATATGGTCTTCTATAATCGGTCACTAAATCGAATCAGGCGCGTTCTGCGGGCTCCCCCGCGAGAATTATGACGACTATGCTCGTTTTAGAGAGTACGATACACTATGCATTTGATGGGCTACTATAATCGTTTACTTAATGGAATCAGGCGCATCCTCGCAGCGGTCGGGTGCCCCCAGCACCCAGGGTTCTCTGTGAGCACTAATGCGCCTACATTAGTTTTAAAACGAACCAGGAGCCGTAGACAGCGCCCTTGTGATAGTGTAACCGGTGGCTCCCGAGATCGCACCGCGATGCCCTAGCACCTAGGCAGTCGCTAAGGTTCGTTTTTTCTCACTATTACGGAGAGTGATTAATGTACACTGAGGCTTTCATTCAGCACACTCTAGGCGTCTGGGAGGTAACAAACTCACGGCCCATCAACTATGATACAAAAAATATAATAATGAAATAACTCTGTTTTTAGAAAACAATGTAACTCGTCTAAAATACCCGCATGGTAACGCATCGATGAAATCCAATCCTCTTAAAATATTGCGTCCGCTTTTCTTCCGAGACCACAGCATAATAATAATTTTAATAATTTTACCTCAATAAGATAATTTGCGAAAGGGTCAGATCCCATCTTTGCACAATAATCGTACAATTAGACAACAAAAATGGCGACTTTCATGTCAAATTTTACTCTTCCTCCGCAAGATCCAAATTTACCACTTTCTGCTGCTGCATCAGCTGCTGATAGGGCGCAGCGTTCAGTGTTTGGTAAAAATAAATTATTTATTAGCTTATCGGATACCTAGATCTAGAATCTACAAAGGGTAAAACTCCATTTTAGCGTATTTTATTCCCCGCTTCATGTTCACCTCCCTGTTGACTGAGTTGACTGTTGACTCAGCTGAGTTGAGCGTTATAATAATAAATTAATTATTTATTTTAATATTATAAACTACAATATAAACACAACTGAAACACTCAAAAACATTAGGAAAACAGTGGGCTTATTTCTTTATGAACTTTTGTTTTAGTTTTTGATAATTTCCTTTTGTCAAAACTTGAAAAAAATCCTAATATTTGCCATTTGGAATATTGAATGTGCTTTGCTGGTGTGTCAGTTAAAGTTAAGATATTCATGGCAATGGTGGGTGAAGTATGAAACTCATAATTGCAAGGAGGTTAAGCTACAAGTATCTCCCACACATGAAACTATAAATAAACTTTTATGAACTCACAATGACCCCAAAACTGAGGCCAACACCATTTCAACACTGAGGGCTGTATACTCATTAAAATTGAGCATGCGCAGTATCATCGAAAACATCGCAGTGAAAGAAAGTCGTAGTTTCTCTCCGTTGCGCATACATATCTTTTTCCGGCTAGCATCGGCCTTTTTTTTATCACGCAGATGAGAAAATGTGACAGTGTTTAGAATATAGATCTAGCTAAAGATTTTAAAAATATAGTCTTAAATAATATTATTCTCTTCGTGAACTCATGTTGACCTGTCTATTGACTGAGACAGGATTTTTCTCCAGTTGACAAGAAAATGAGGGCGTGCTATCATAGGAGGTTAAGATTTTAAACATTTTTATTTTAAAAAAATCAAAACTAGATTTTAAAAAAGACAAACATCACTCGTGATATATCCGCATGTTTAGTTTACAACTAAAACAAAAAAAACCTGAAAACATGAAACAAATTTTTTTTTTGCTAATTGTGTCTAGCTAATTAACCTTGATTCCACAGCAATGTCTCGAATTTTCTTCTTGCAGTTAATTTAATGCAGCAGTGCATATGTATTGTACTGTTATAAATTTAATGTGAAAATAGGCTCTAATCACCCTTAATTTCTTATACTAATATGGAACATGAGATCAGTCATTGAGGCGATTGCGTCCATGATGTTTGTCAAATGGTGCTGGTTCGATTCCAATTTAAGAATTAATCAGATTATATACCTTTTTGTTTTTGGTCTATTCACCTTCAACTTCAAATAGGTCTAGACCTATATGAAATTGGTTTTCATTTCTCACATAGATAGGAGGCTAATAATTATATTCAAATGTATATGTGAGTCTAATAATTCTATAAAAAGTATACTACCATATAGTAATAAATATGGACCAGTTAACAATTTGGCACTTCAAAGTTTAACCTCAGTGATAATTATAGTACATAGGCCTGTTGGTATAGTCTGTAAGTAAAGTATAGATAATCTTTTTAAAAATCTTATGAAAGATTTAGTAATTTAGTACCACCATAAATCATACTAAAATAATATAAAATAATTTTTTTAATAATGTTCACAGTCTGTGAATCTGATTCCAGGATTAGTTAATCCCTGTCCTATTATGAGCTGTGTTTCTGTACATTAATTAAAACTACTAATTAGAAACTTGAGCTAAATTAATCACTAGCAATTGAGTTAATCAATTAAGAGACTTGATTTAACAGTACAATCAGATCTATACCTTTACAGTTACTTTAACACAACCTTATTCTTTATGGCAGGAAACAGATTCAACCCTCAAGCATCTACTTTTAGGGTCGATTTTTGCCAATTTTCAAAGTAACAATTATTGACATATTATATATCAATTTTGTTGCTTAACAATCGAGGAATTCAAAAATATAAAAATTAATAGCACTAGACATTTACATCACGTTCAAAATGTAGATTAACCACACTCACTCAACTGAGATTTTTTTTTACATCTAAATGTAGTGAGGTCTAAAAATCCACGAAATTCACAAAATTAACAATATAATTACACAGAAATGTCACTTAGGCATACATTTATTTGTAATTATGTCAAACTTTACAAAATATACCAGTTTATAGGTTATTTCTATAATTATTCTTGAGAAAAAAAACGACCGCCCTCCCCTTTAAAATTCTGGCTTTTAGAAACACTCTGAGGAAGAAAAAAATAACAGAGTTAAATATAGAAGGTCTGTATAAAAAAACATAATTAATAAAATATGTCTATATGCCAATTTTTAATATAGTTGCAGCATTTACATGGCTAATTATAGTTGTTTAGTACTTAAAACATTAATTTAAAGTTATGACTCTCTGTGGCGTCTTTTAAGTGTAATGTCAGTGTAGGTGAACAGGGTGTTAGGGCCTGATACGATTTCATTAGAATTGGTAATGAACAGAATGTATAATTAGAACTGGCATATAAAAACGATGTTGATAATAGATGCAGTTGTTTTAATGCTACTTATAATAGATCAAAATGACAAACATAATTAAAACATAAGAATCTGGAAGCGCTGACCTCATTTTACTGACACGGTTGTCAAATAGTAAGTAGATCTAAAAAATAGATCTAGATTTACGTAATTTTGAAAATACGCTAGATCTAGATCTAGATGCAAAATCACTTTTAAAAACTGAAGTTAGTGATTAGATCTAGCTCTATAATGAAATTGAAATTAACAACTGATATGTAAGTATCTTTTGATTTAAAAAAAAAAATACGCTTAGTTCTAAGAAAAATAAATTCTATTGTGTACTCGATCCCTATCCCAAAACGTGCCAGCCATATCGCATGCGTAGTCAGCTACTCAGCTGCTTATCAAAGCGATGAATTTTAAAATTATATAATAAAAGTAGGTCACCCTAAAATAAGAGTAAAATGGCTCCCGTTTTCACGACAGCCGTCACTCGATTCATAATTTACAGAGTTATAAAGTTCTACTTTCTTTTGGCTATAGATTTAAAGAAATATTAATTTGTTATTTCTCATGCGTTCCAACAATTGTACCTAATTTTAATAAACATTGGATTAGTAAGGACTCGATTCTTTTTAGAATTAGCCCTCGACACTATACAGACTATTGCGAAGAAACAGACTCGCGCGAATGTCGTGCGTAGGCTGGTTCAGTGGGCGAAGATTAGAACCCATTTCAGACGGAAATTTTTTACTTTGAAATAATTACATTATCAATTAATTTCGATTTAAAACAAATGGCTTAAAGTCAAAAGTAAACTAAAATTTAAAAACTTTGTTATTCGCAGTGTACTCAAGATTCTCGTGTTTTAAAGATAAGTCTAGTTTTACTACGTGTACGTGCATGGTGCGAATATCGATTTTCCCCGACAGAAAATCATAAACATTTTTTTTTAAAGTATCTACGGCAAAATAATACTTATATTTTACAGAATTAAATACATTTAACTAAACTGTTATTTAAATACATGCCTCGGAGGAAAAAAATACAATTTTATATCCGTAAAAAATTAACTGAAATCCCCGCTTTCAACGACGCCGATGTGTCGTAATTATGGCCATTCACTTTGTTCAAATTAAAGTAAAAAACACATTCAAATATACTTTTTTTTACTTTCATAATTTACAGCAATCATTTCTAATGAAAAATCCATAAAAATAATAGTTATTTTTACAAAATATTATTTCTTACCTTATTAGTGCAGTACACGTACTTTTCCAAGTAGATCCATTCCGTCTAGATTTGCATACTTCGCATCCTTCGCCGCGGCACAAAATGTCATAAAAAACGTATTCCACAAAAATGTTGCTAACGAAGCTTGTAAAAACATAGCTCTATTTATTAGTATAAACAAAATCCCCGACCGATGTCTGGTTAGAAAGTTTATGAACGGCGAAGATCGAATATGCATTTTGCGGTACTAATCTGTTTCCTGCCTTATCTGATGGTAGCCTATAAAAAACAACAAACATTTTAAATAGATGACAAGAGAAATACTAGGTCATACATAGTGCTGTTTTGTAAACATTCACATGCACAGTTGAACTCAAAAATAGCCTTGATGAAAGGCAAATTTTTTTGCCTCTGCACATGCTTATTCCCTCAAATCAGCCTTTCAACCTATTCCATTGCTAAATAAGTATATTGAATGGTTATTGTTACTTGGAATCATATCTTTATATATAGCAACAACACACTATTCCTTGTGGTGATACTGTCCATTAAGGAGCCTTACTCTACTAGTAAAAACTGGAACCATCACGTTAGTTAATGTTAGAAGTCACTTCCACTCTATGGCTAGAGTTAAGTTAAATAAATAAACAAAACACCAAATTTAAGACCAAAATAATTTGGGGACTCAGGCCTAAATGATTCTATTTAAATAAAAACCTTGCTTAACTAACTTGTTGTATTCCAAAATTTTATTTCTCTCTGCTTTATTTGTTGATGGATTGCCATTTTAAAAATACACTTTTTAACTCTTATGGCTTTCAGTTGGTAATATTCCATATGATGCTACAGAAGAGCAGTTAAGAGAAGTATTTGTACAAGCAGGAACTGTAGTAAGCTTCAGGTACATTTATTTACAAATTATATTTTAAAGTAAACAGCTCAGGGTTGTATAATTTGATGTCAGATTAGTAATTTCATTATATTATTATTGTTTTTGGTTGAAAATGTGTACAGGTGAAAGAAATAGCTATTGAATATTTTTTTAACTTAGATTGTCAACTATTTCCCCCCCCCCCCCTTGTCACATCAATAATAGAAATTCAATAGTCTTGTATCATATTAAAATCAGTTTAACATATGGTCTAGTGCAAAATAATTAATTTATTAAACAATATGAAAAAATTTCAGTTTTATTATATAAGGACTGTTAAAGAACAAATAATTACTTTACTGTCACTGCAATAACGTAAAAGTTACCTAATGGATTAAAATTTTTCTTTCTTAAGGCTTGTGTATGACAGAGAAACAGGCAAACCAAAAGGTTATGGATTTTGTGAGTACCAGGATGTGGAAACTGCACAAAGTGCGATGCGAAACTTGAACAATTATGATTTCAATGGGCGGCCATTACGAGTGGGTGTTGCTGCAGGAGAGCAAAGTAAAGATGAGGGTAAAGCAATGCAGCAAGCCTTAGGTGGGCAAATTGTTGAGGTAAAGAATTTGTTTTCTGGCGTTTTTTTTCTATAACTATGGCTATTTAGATACTAACTCAGTACCATACTATTGAACTCTTGGTGGGTAAAAAAATAAAGATGTTTTAGAATCATTGTATCTTTGATAAAGCTGGAAAGTCATTACACAATAATGATTTAGAAATAAAATATATGGAGCAAAACCTTAACTACTAAATTTATTTATTTTTTAGTTCACTATCCTTGTGTTGAATAGTCCAACCACAGTGCCCTTATGAACTTTAATAAAACACTGTATTCATATCTTTTAAAACCTTTTGTTACAGTCACCATATGGTGAACCAGTAGAACCAGAAAAAGCTCCAGAAGCAATCTCTAAGGCAGTTGCGAGTCTTCCCCCAGAACAGATGTTTGAACTCATGAAGCAGATGAAGGTCTGTTTATACAGCACTTACACAAAATGTCAACTCCAGATTCATTCATTGAAAATCAGAAATTTATTTTAGTTGAATACACCACAAAACTTGTTTGACTAAACTGCCATTGTAATATTGTTTACAGCTGTGCATCCAAAACAACCCAAATGAGGCAAGAAACATGTTGCTACAGAACCCCCAGTTGGCTTATGCTCTGTTGCAGGCTCAAATCGTCATGAAAATTGTTGATCCCCAAGTTGCAATGGTATGCTTTTGATTCCATAAAGAAATACATTTTATGCCTTAACTCCTTAACTTTATTTTAATTACCTATTTTTTTACCCAAGAACTTTTTTATCCAAGAATATATTTTCATTACAATAATTTTTCAGTCAATGCTGTACCGTGATGAAACCCAGCCCCAGATAAATGTCAGTATGCCTAGTAACCAAATGAAGGTAAGTCTGAACGCAGCCTCTTGGTTGACGCTGACTGTAATGAGACCCTTCTAGACTTGTATATGGTCAACTAACAGTGGATAAATGGTTTAAAAAATTGTTCTCACATTATAGTATTAATGCTGAAAATAATAGGCAAATAGAAAAAACAATTCCAGAAAATTATGTAATTTTTTTTTACTTTTAATGTTCCTCAGCCGCAAATGGGCAACTCCATGATGGCACCCAGGGCCCCACAAGGTAATTACTTTATTTAACTAAGGTTTCCATTGAGCTTATAGTCTGTTTCTGTGTCCATTTCATCTAGATGGTATGGTGTGGTCAGAACAATAGTGACTTTACCTCCCATAGTTAAGTAATTTGTTAGTGAGATTATGTTGGGCTGTGTCCTTAAATTAACTTTGATATTTGATCATTAAACGAATTTGGAATTTGTTAGTGATTATCAGGGAATAGTATTCAACCAGCCTACCCTATGTTCATGGAGATGTGCTATTTATCACTTGTCAGTGGAGCTATCTTGGTCTTTGACGATAATCAAAAAGACTCATGCAATTTCCCCAAGTGGCACGATGTCTGAAATTCAGTTGCTCTAATGAACTGTTTTCAAAAATATTATAATTATATACATAAATGTAGAATATAAATGAAAATTTAACTGTAGCGTAAATTCATCTATTAAAAAACAGGAATTTGTTAATATTTTAAAGATTAAGCTTTTTTCAAAGTTACATTTTGCTATTTATTGTTATTTATTATTATTCCTTCAATAATTCTAAGAACACATACATGACAGTATCTCACATATGGCATATTTAATCACAAACTTACTAAATTTTACATTATAAAATTGTGTGGATGAGGGCAGTAAGGTACTCTGACAGTGTCTTTACATTTTTTTCATGTATTAGAGCATATTGTTTTGTTGAGGTGGTTATCTCTTACTTGCTATTCAGTATAGACAGCTGTTTAAAGTTAAACATTGAACAATGGTGTGTTTGTTTGATTTCAAATAAATGAGAACAGTTTTTTTTTATATTTCTATAGAAGCGCTTTTACTTAATAGTATAATAATATTGTTGTATATACAATCTCAGATAATCTATAGTTATCAAACTTGAAATAAAAAAATATTCTTTGTTTTTTTATTTAATAATTGCTTTATATATATATATATATAGAATAATAATATTATTAATATTTTTTTCTGGCAATTTACCTTCATTCATATGGTATCAGGCAGATAACCATCTTCAGACAGCAGTCCAATTATAGTTCATTTTAGGAAAATGGTCTTCAGTCTAATATCTGGTGCCTGAATTATCCCATTTGGTAGCTTAGACACATAGAAGTTTCTATTCTAAAACACTCTGTCATACTGAGTTACAGCATGCTTACTAATTTTGTTTGTTTCAATAATTCTTTGTTTTATTTTTTAAGGTATGCCTGGTCAAATGAATCAAGGTCTTGGAATGAATGTTGCCCCTATGGCCCCACCAACTAGACCTGATATGATGATGATGATGAGACCAAGTGTTCCACAAAGTGGGTATATTAAAAACATGGCTCACTTTTGTTTTAATCAAATATTTTCTAAAAAAAAATGCTTTGTATACATTTTGATAAATTAATAGAGAGGTAGAGGGAGGGAGACAAAGTCAATGAAGCACTTGATTCAATGAATATATTATTTTGTATAATGAACACAGATGATCTTGGAGACCCCCGTAGATTCCCTCAGCCAAATAACATGCAGGGCATGGCTGGTAGGATGCAAACTCCAGGTGCTGGTCAAGGCATGATGTCCAGCCAGAGACCAGTGGCTGGCCAGGTGGGTTTAGAAACATGGCACCATGTGGTTATTGATTTTTTTTTAATGTGCTGTATACATGTATATAATAGGTATGGCTTAACTAAACATAGTGGTTTACAAAAAATGCTGCAAATTTAATTACATGGATTATTTGTCTAAAACATTTAGTGTATTTAGAAAAAATTAAAATTTAAATACCCATATTTTTGTACCTTCTCAACTATTATTTGCATACGTATATGGTAAAACAATTTTGTGTAACACTTTTACAGTCCTCTGGTGCACCAGCTAACATGGGAGGACCATCATCAAATGGTGCAGCTAATATCTCCACACAGGACCAAGAGAAGGTATTTTTTAGTTACCATAAACTTGATCACACCGTTTTCTGTTCAAGTATATTTTAAGAATATAAACATTGAGGATCCAGTATACAAAAACATTACATTCAATTGAAAGATAATTATGTTCTCCTTGATTTTGTTTTTCTATAGAATAGTCATTGCTTGCTTGTTCAGTTTTTTTTAAAAATCAGACCAGTTCTATTTATATCCTCCACAGGCTGCTCTTATTATGCAAGTTTTGCAGCTAACAGATGAACAGATTGCCCTACTCCCACCAGAACAGAGACAGAGTATTCTTATACTAAAAGAGCAAATCAAAAGTGGATAGACACTAAGCACGAATTCATTATTGTTGACTTATCATTATGTAAAATAAACATTGGCTTTTCTGTTATTCTGTGAATAGGTGTCTGTTATAATTATGGAAAGAGTGTAAAATTCATGTGCTGTTCTGTTATTCTGTGAATAAATGTTACACATATTTTTGGGATGAGTAAAATAAACATTCAGCTTTACTCTAAATCTGTTTATAAATTGACAAAACAATGTGGAATGGTTTTATGCCGCTTGGCAATAGTTTTGGTTCTTTTCAGGATTCTTTGTTCTGTATCTCTTTTCTATCTATATTTAGAATTTAAAATTGATTTTTCTCTAACTTGTATAAACCAACCAAAAGAGCCTGGTAGAATCTTGAGCAACTGAATTATTTGAATTATTATCATCAAACCGGTATTTTTTGTGAATTAAACTGAAAAGTTGGTTTTGCTGTACAAGGCGGCTACTATTCTGTCAAATTTGTCTGGTTTCTTTTCTAATACAGTTCAGATAATGGGAATAATTTACTGTACAGCATTCCCATAGGAAAATTAACATGTATGGGATGTAGTAGGCAGTTTATCTTTGTTTATGTTTTTCTTACTTTTAGTTTGAATAAACATGAGATGTTCACATGACTAATTACTGTTTTGTTCAATTTTTTGAAGTTATTGAATGTAGTTTTTAAATTAAAATAAATTTCATATCAAAGACTAGTTATCAAAATCAAATAGATTCTAAAATAGTACTGTAAATGTTGATAGTTTTAGCTGTTGGTTTTGAGAGTTTATCTGTTTAAAAATGGTAATGTAAACCTCAGGACTACCCTGTTACTAGGCTGCTTTGATTTTTGTATATGAAAGTTTCTAATTTATATTAGAAAATTGTGGGGTCTGGTATTGAATGGCATAATAGGTTAATGTAATCACAGTGGATTAACAAGATATAGTTTCCATCATGAAATTGCCTGATGAAACAGTAAAATTATTAGTGCATTTTTTTAAATTAATATTTATTACAGAATTTACATGTTTTTTTTTCTTTCTGTTTCAATGTTCTTGTATCTGAAAACAATAACAATAACATCTTGGATAAATTTAAAAAACATTTAATATTCCTCACCACTTTTCTTTTAATAAAGACTAAATACCCCCCCCCCCCCCCCCCCATCACACACCAATGTTTTTTAAATAGTAGGATCAACAAGCAAGTGAAGAAGTGGGCCTTACTCTTTTCTTCCTCTTTCTTACTTTGATTATTATGAGAGTATTGTCCCTTAGATCATGTCACATGATTTTGTTGTGAAAGTGTACAAAAAAGTAAAGCCTACTGAATCAAAAAGAAGGAAAAAATGACAACCGTCTTTGTAAGTTTGTGTCGAACTAGAATAAGATCTAATATTATTACCTGGTCTAGAATCTAGGCCTACTAAGCTTTTGAGGTTCGTGTCACTAGTCTAGCTTTATGAATGCGACAACCCAACATTTCTTTTAAAATTATTAATTTATTTTTAAAAACTAGAAGATCTAGATCTAGTCTCTAGAAGAGAAGACTAAGAAGTGAGATCTAATTCTAACTAGATCTAGATCTAGAGACTAGAATAAATCTAGATCTAGAAATCTAGATCTAGATTCTTAATACTAACTAATACTAGACTAGATCTAGATCTAGGCCTAATTAATACTAATAATACTCTAACTAGATTCTATTTCACTAAAAATAAAAAAAATCAGCCTAAATGTAGTAGTAGTAGGCCTAGATCTAGATCTAGCTCTAGGGGCCTAAATAATAACTAAATATTAATAAATAAACAATAAATAAACTCACTTAGATTTTAAGTAATAAAATACTAAGATTATAATTATTAGCCTATTAATTTAAATTTTAAATCAGAGTAGCCTATTTAATAGGCCTACTATTTATTATTTAATTATAAATTGATTAAATTATTGCTAGATCTGGGTCTTGATATAAAGAGTGAAGCAAAACTCAAATACGAGGTGGTAAATTGGGGTGCCAGAGGACACCCATTGTTTGATTTAGTAATTGACTTTAGTAGCCCACTGTCTCCCTAGTGATGACTGATACTTAAATTTTAAAATGTATGTAAATACCATAGTGGTCATGGGTGTGGCCGGGGTACTCACTGTCACTCAACAGCCTGTAAACTGGCAGAAGCACCTGGTTTAAGTTTAATGATAGTAGTAGCCCACTATTCCCATCGTGTATGGTGCTATTTAAAAGGCATCATAGTGGTCATACTAGGTGAGGCCGAAGTGCACCCTTGTCACATGATCGCGTGGGGGGGGGGGGGTGTTGGCTGATGCGCCATGTGCAGTTTGACTGTTGAATCAAGTAGTAATCCTGACTCTCTGTGCAGGACGCCCAATCAACGGATTCCAGGTGCTTAGATAGAAGCTGGGGAACTCTCTGTGCCCAAGCACACCCGCCTGTTGGGGTGGCTCATTTCCAAATTTGGAATTGTTTTATGACAGACACCTTCCCAGGAATATTCTCAACAACTTACCAAAGTTTCATGCAGGTTGAATGAAAGGTGCAGTGATGCATAAAAGACAATCAAACCCACATACTTTCAGTTTTATATAAATAGATTATCATTTATTTAGGTCTAATATTCATTTTTAATTCTGATATATTATTAGTTAAGTGGATTATAATTTTTGCAGAAAATCTTTTATCAGGCGCAGACTTAGAACTTTGTGGCAACCTTAGATGGGGGAAGTAAAACTCTAAAATAGCATAATATCATTTATCTTTTCTGGTACTTAAAAAAATAATTCTTCCTGGTAAGAAGTATCTAAATCAGGAAGATTTATATTTTATTAGGTTTTATAATGACAAAATAAATCTAGTATCCAATAAAAAAAACAATTAAAAAATTATAATTATTATTTACCACAGCAATTTTAGTTAAGACCTTTAACCTGACATTTTTAATCTACTGGTTGGAAGATTTGACGACTCAAGCAGAGAACATATAAAAACAAAATTGTCTCTGCTAATCCATCTTTTATTAAATGCTATGTGCTTTTATTTTAGATTTAAATGATTTTATCAGTGCTTGAGACTTGAAAAGTGGAACTTAACAGTACTTGTTGTTAAGCTATATTTAGTATCTAAAACAAAAGAGAGATAATTCAAGCAGTTTTGTTTCTTTAATGAAGTTTTAAATATATTTTAAAGGCAAAATTATTAATAATTACATTTCAACTGTTCAGGTAAATGAATTTATTGTGCATTGTTATGTGTTTGTTTTTCATAATTCTTGCTTTTTTCAGGGCAATATGTCTTTAAGTATGGTAAGAATGTTCAGGTTCTAAAATTCTTCCTATTTTTTTTTATACAGGTAACACCCATGAGCTGAGATTTTATTATTGTAACTACTGCACTGGTCTTCTTGTTATGAAAAAATTCTCTTTAATGAAAACAAATCAAATGTGAGTAAGATGTAATTTAAGTCTTAGAATATTTATATCAATTGCTTTACTTTTTAAAACACCTTTTAGAGACTTTATCAAGTGTTAAAATTAAAATTAATATTACTAAAACATCTTAAATTATTCTTTTCATTAAGTCATTTGTGGATAACTCAGTAAGTGTATATAATTTTCAAAAATGTTAATGAACTTATTAAATTACTGTTGAGTTTATTTTTAATATTTTTTGCTATTTTTCAAATAACTGTTTTTCAACGACTTTTCAGAGAAGAATGGAAGCCCTAGGAACACGAGATGAAATAGTTGATACCTCTACAATAACTAGGTGGAACTTTACCAAACTTCTTGAACAACCAAAAGAATATGGTCCTGATGATGAGCGATCACCCTTTCCTTGGAGGAATGATCTAAATTCCAAAATAGCTTTATGGTATTTTTTTTTCAGCAAACTTAATCCTCTCAAAATTAAAAAAAAACATAACTTCTTCTATTGAGGGTTATCTCAGCCTAGTATGATGGATGAATGTTTTAGTTTAAATGTATGGTGAATATTTGAAATGCCTCCCCAGGAGTGGCAAGCTGACTAGACTGAATGTCCATGCTATCACACACTCCACCAATGAGCACATGAATGATGTCAACCCACTGAGTGAGGAGCTCTTCAAGCAAGGAGGGCCAGGACTGGTTAAAGAAGTTCAAGAAGACATTAGGGGTAACCTCAGGACTAAACTTTTATTATGGATCAGTGGCTCTTTATGTGCAGTCTTCCCTAATCTTAAATCTATAAAAAAAACATTATTAAAATCAATAAATGCCATGACTAGCTATGAACCAAGCTATGCTCACCAGAGTGTACCTTCAAATCTAATAGGTTCTAGTAAATAACAAATATGATTTTAGAATTATACATTAATATTTTGCTTCATGTTTAATCTATTTTAGTTAGAATTTTCAAAGTATCCATATGTGTATTATTTATAAACATGATTATTACAACTTTTAACATTAATTTCTATGTGTAATATTTACAGACATACGTTTTATTTTCAGTGTGTAAGACAGGAGAGGCCAAACTTTCTAAAGGTCACAATTTGATAGCTCGTTATGTAATTCACTCTGTAAGTCCCAGGTACAATGTCAAGTACATCACAGCAGCTGAGAGCGCCCTGTTCAGTTGTTACAGAACCATTATGCAGATATGCAAGTAAGGACAAAATCTTGCATTCCTGTCCTGTTAGTCTTCATCATTCCTCAGGTTGTAGTCTGTTTGATTCCAGAGATCATTGATGTCAGTTGCGTCTTGAGTTACTTGTCTCGTTCTATGCTGTCTAAGACAGCATTTAGTTATATGAGTAGCACCAAATAATGAGCCCAAGGTTTCTGACACAATCATTGTCAGTTAATGGTGTTTGAATTATACACCATTCCTCGTGTACCATGTGAGGATTACACACCATCCTTTTTGAACCATGTGAATGTTACACACCATCTGTTTTAAACCATGTCAGGATTACACACTATTCCTTGTGAACCATGTGTTTTGAACAGTGTCAGGATTATACACCAATATTTTGAACAATGTCAGAATAACAGAGTTTGCATATATTTAGACCTGAGTTATGACTGTCCACTTTCAATTTAACATTTATATTAAAATTAATTTTTGTATTTTATCATTCTTTCCCACGACCTTAACTTAAGTAATTTTCAAAGAATTTTACCTAACTGACTGCAAAGCATTATTGTTGCCATAAACACATCACACTCTTTTTAATCTTAAATAAATTATTCTACGCATAGAGAAGCAGATATACGAACACTAGGCTTGGGAGCCATACACACATTACGGAGAAATTATCCACCAGAAAAAGGAGCTCATATAGCAATACGTAAGTTTGTGGTGTACATGCATATGCTTTTAAGAGTAAAATAATTGTTTTAATGAAATTTTCTCATAATTTTCTTTTTTGAGTCCAAGACATAAGATAGTTATAATTTTAACTCAGCACAGATTATCTTGTTTTAATGCATTATTATATTTTATATTCTAATAGGTACAGTTAGACGGTTTTTAGAAAAGTTTTCAGATTCATTTGATCTTATCATTTTTGTATGCAATGATGAAAATTTGGTGAGTTAACTAAAATTAAGTTTAAATTTTTGCATTTATAAAATGTCTTTGCCAAATTTGGTTTGCTTTTCTGAACTATCTTTTTAAAAAAATCCTGTTGTATTCTTTATTAATTAACAGATAAAACTTAAAACTAAAATAACAATTTTTTAATTAAACAGGAAGTTTACAACAAAATTTTACCCCTGTACTTTCCAAGAAGTTCAAATGAAGAAGAATTTGCCTTTGATCATTTACCTAGTGATATTGGAAATGATGAGGGAGAGCCTATAATCAAAGAACGTCAGATTAGAATTTTAGACAAGCCTACATTTGCCGCCTTAAGTATGTTTCTCACCTAACTTTTATTCTGACTTTATTAGCGTAAACATTTTATTAATAAAAACATCAAATAGCCTCACATGATTAGAGGCTAGTTTCATAACAATGACCCGTCTCTAACTTGGTTTTAATCTTGACATCAACCATGTATATGTTAAGAAAGTCCAGAAATTAAATATAGTTTTGTAATCTAAACATATAATATAAATAACTAATATTAAATGTATTTTTACTCAAAAGAAATATTCAGGAAAAACATTAATTTCTTGTTTAGCAACACATGATATTGTATAATTATAAACAAAGATAATTTGCATAAATTAATTTAAAAAATCTTCACTTCCCCCATGTTGCCTTTCCCTGTCACAATTAATAAATCAAATCTGAATAACTGTGATCTGCTATTGCCAGAGGCTGGGAATGAGGACTTTGAACAAACTATTGACCTGAACAAAGTCTTTTCACAATCAATCAACATGGACGTAGGGCACCATCCATTTTCCAGCATGGAGGAAGATCCAGACAAAGTAAAAGCCAGCAAAATGCTCCAGAATTATTCCTCAGATCAAAAGAAAATTGAAGCTAGGAGGAGGTAATGTGTTGTTCTGTTTAGTTATTTCCCTTTAATATTAAAAAAATTTTTAATCTGATATTAAAAAAAGCAAATTTTATGATAATCTTATGTTCCCAGGTATGAGATGTTGCTACAAAGGTCAAAGACAGAGGACCTGACAGACATAGCAGCCCTGCACTGTTTATACCGAACAGGTGTGGACAGATTTGGCAGGCCAATAGTTGTTGTGGTGGGGAAAAACTATCCCGCACACACAGCCGACCCAGAAAAGGTGAGTGTAGCTCTGTGAATGAACCAGCTCACATGACGTCACACAACTTTAGTACTGGTTACTGTTGTAAGTCACTCAGTCTAGATCAAAAGGTGAGTAGCTCTGTGAATGAACCAGCTCACATGACGTCACACAACTTTAGTACTGGTTACTGTTGTAAGTCACTCAGTCTAGATCAAAAGGTGAGTAGCTCTGTGAATGAACCAGCTCACATGACGTCACACAACTTTAGTACTGGTTACTGTTGTAAGTCACTCAGTCTAGATCAAAAGGTGAGTAGCTCTGTGAATGAACCAGCTCACATGACGTCACACAACTTTAGTACTGGTTACTGTTGTAAGTCACTCAGTCTAGATCAAAAGCTAACAGAAAAGGTGAGTAGCTCTGTGAATGAACCAGCTCACATGACGTCACACAACTTTAGTACTGGTTACTGTTGTAGCTACACTAAGTCAAGATCAAAAGCTAACAGAAAAGGTGAGTGTAGCTCTGTGAATGAACCAGCTCACATGACGTCACACAACTTTAGTACTGGTTACTGTTGTAAGTCACTCAGTCTAGATCAAAAGGTGAGTAGCTCTGTGAATGAACCAGCTCACATGACGTCACACAACTTTAGTACTGGTTACTGTTGTAAGTCACTCAGTCTAGATCAAAAGGTGAGTAGCTCTGTGAATGAACCAGCTCACATGACGTCACACAACTTTAGTACTGGTTACTGTTGTAAGTCACTCAGTCTAGATCAAAAGGTGAGTAGCTCTGTGAATGAACCAGCTCACATGACGTCACACAACTTTAGTACTGGTTACTGTTGTAAGTCACTCAGTCTAGATCAAAAGCTAACAGAAAAGGTGAGTAGCTCTGTGAATGAACCAGCTCACATGACGTCACACAACTTTAGTACTGGTTACTGTTGTAGCTACACTAAGTCAAGATCAAAAGCTAACAGAAAAGGTGAGTGTAGCTCTGTGAATGAACCAGCTCACATGACGTCACACAACTTTAGTACTGGTTACTGTTGTAAGTCACTCAGTCTAGATCAAAAGGTGAGTAGCTCTGTGAATGAACCAGCTCACATGACGTCACACAACTTTAGTACTGGTTACTGTTGTAAGTCACTCAGTCTAGATCAAAAGCTAACAGAAAAGGTGAGTGTAGCTCTGTGAATGAACCAGCTCACATGACGTCACACAACTTTAGTACTGGTTACTGTTGTAGCTACACTAAGTCAAGATCAAAAGCTAACAGAAAAGGTGAGTGTAGCCCTGTGAATGAACCAGCTCGCATGACGTCAAACAACTTTAGTACTGGTTACTGCTGTAGCTACACTAAGTCTAGATCAAAATCTAAGTTATTTAAATATACATCCTACCTACTAAAACCAAGCAGTTTTTGCCACCCCTAAATTATCTGCAATTATTTAATTTATAAAACGTTTGGATTGAAAGAAGATTTAATTTGATTCAGCAACTAAAACTTTGTTACATGTAGATAGTGAATTGTGTATTATTACTGGTATTTACTGTAACAATCTAAGCCATGGTGGGTATAAAAAGTACCCAGTGATGAATTGATGGTTCATATGGTAAAGCTCATAAGTCTACAGCCTCAACTGATGAAGAGACTGTTGTTTTTAAAGCAGTAAGGTCTTAAAAATGTATTGTTCAAAAATTCCAGACCCTACTGTACATGCATTTCCATGGCCTTTAACCTCATGACCCTACTGTACATGGATTCTCCCTGACCTTTAACCTCCAGACCCTACTGTACATGATCCGTATCATGGACCCTGTGGTGGAGACGGAATATGTTGTCGTGTACTTCCACACAGAGAGTGGTGGCAAGAACCAGCCAGCCATGGCCTACTTCAAGATGGTCTACAACCTATTGGATCACAGGTACACAAATTATTCTAATTCATCTTTGTCTACATTTTATTTCTGCATTTTATTTCATACTATTGAAAATAAAATCTGCATGTGTAAATTTTTTTTTAAATTCTGTTGTTTAATGTTTTGTAAATGTAAATTTGTACTTACTTAGCCCACACTCATCAGATCTAAATTCCATCACTAATTCTTGTATTCAACTAACTGCATGTTTGTTTACTAAAGTGTGTTTGTCTCCCCTGTAATGTATTCTTATCCTTTTTCCAGGTACAGGAAAAACCTCAAACATTTCTACATTGTTCACCCAACATGGTGGTCTAAGGCAAGTTGACTTTTTGTCCAATAAAATGTTTTTTATACTACAATAATATTCTTCAATAAATTTTCTGTTAATAAATTAAAAGGGGGACTATTTTTATAGATAAGAATTTAATATTTTGAATTAATTTTTAAAAAAATAACTATGTTAGCAGAAGTATATTTAAAGCCACCGTGGAGAGAAAGCAGATTTATGTTTATGATGTGTGTGTTTAGTGTCAGGTGTGTGTTTGTGTGTCAGGTGTGTGCTTGTGTGTGCTGGTGTAACACACAGCAGATTGATGTAGATGTAGACATTGATGCAGGTATGGATATAGATGTTGAAGTAGGTTTTGATGCTGTGTTGTTTAGATGTAGACATTGATGCAGGTATGGATGTAGGTGTTGAAGTAGGTTTTGATGCTGTATTGTTTAGATGTAGACATTGATGCAGGTATGGATGTAGATGATGAAGAAGTTTTGACGCTGTGTTGCTTCTCTCTCTAGCTGGCCACCTGGTTCTTCACCACCTTCGCAGCCTCCGACATCAAGCACAAAGTGCACAACCTGAAAGGTGTACAGTACCTGTACACAAAGATCAACCCTGACCAGATTGATGTCCCCACCTTTGTACAAGAACACGATATCAAGGTACATTTTCTCTTACTCAGTTTAATGGGAATGGGAGGTGGCCATGAGCTAAAGCTCACAACTACTGATGTCTCTGTGTCTACCTAACTCTGATGTGTACTTGACTCATATAAGGGAAAGTAAAAGTGGCTGGGCATATATCCCTTTGTAGCAATAGGAACAGGGAGACGGAGTGGTCTAGTGGTAGAGAGCTGGACTGCTAACCCATAAGTCTCAAGTTCGAATCCGGGTTCAAGTCAGTAGACCGTCCCTGACTCCACCCAACTCTGATGGGTTCCTAACTCCCATTAGGGAAAGTAAAGGCGGCTGGGCATAGTGCTGAGCACACTATCTCTTCATATGCCGAGGTCACAGAAACAAGTGAACTCCACTTCCATAGGTTTGAAAGGGAAACTACTTTTTTTAGCAACAGGAACAGTTTGACCCCACTTCACCTGTCCTATTGATCATTAGTTCTGATAGAGCATCCTAATTTACTAGGATGGTGGGTTCAAGTAGAGTGGTCTAGTTAACTCAAAAATCTTGAGGTAGGCACCCATCCCAGCTCTAATGGGTACCTGACTTTCACCTGAAAAAGTTAGAGGCCAGCTTGACATGGTGCTAGTACACCCTGAGTTCAAGAAGTTTCGTTTAAAATCAGCACCTTATTTCATCACCTGATTATTTTAAAAATACTACTGCTGATTGTTTCATATATTTAAAACAATTGTTTAACCCTAGGAAATTTTTGCTAATAAATTTTTTGTCAATTAATTTTTGCTCTCTACAGGTGAATGGGGCCCGCTATGTCGTACCAGAACCAGACTCTCAAGAAGGGCTCTAGAATTAACCCTAATTAGTGTTAATTATATTGTTTTTTAGCAATCAATTAATTTTATAGGTTTGTTGTAAAATTTATTGATGTACAAATGGGTAAGTTGACTGGTACATTTTAAAAATTCTTGCAACAGCAACAAGTTTAGTCTGTAAATAAATAAAAAAAGTTGGATTTTGAGCTATACCAAATCTATGATATCCATCTGTATTGCTTTTGCAGGCTTACACACTTAATATTAACGTAAATAAATGCAAAATTTGATTCTAAATGAATGTTTTTAAATTGATAAATGGCATAGAAATGTTGTGATTATTTAATGTTATCTGTATATGATTAATTTTTTAATGTTGAAGATAGTAGGAATAATAATCATGTCACAATTTAATGTTTAAAAAAAATTGTTATTTTTCTGTAGTCTTTGTCTAATTTTAAAATGTTTTTATAGTCAACCGTGGACAAAATTACTTACCTGGTATCCCAATAAAGTCCTAGTCATTGTGCATAATTTTGAATCATGTTTTCATCTAGTTTACATTAAAGAAATTTATCAAGAATCAAATGATAAACATTAAAAATAAACTTTTTTCAGTACAATATATTTCCACAATTAAAGAAAAAAGTCCACTTCCCCTCGTGTTCTTGGCATTTGTTTTTCTACTCACATTTTTCGCCACATATCAGCTTTTTAAATTGTGGGGGAGAGATGGGAAGTCATTCATTAAATTTTTTTAAGCTGTTTGAGTTATGTTGACCTGTACTTAATTGTGTGCCATAATTACAAAATAATGAAAACTTTTGTTTATTATTTTTTTATGAGTCTGACAAAGTTTGTTTACCTCCAATAATAAATTAAATAATAATTTATTTTATTAATTTAAATAAAAAATAATTTTTTGTGTCCTAATTTTTCTTAAAATATTTTTTCCATTAATTTACAATAGCTTTTTAAATCGTTGTAATGTCTACATATTTGGTGTAGTTATATGTTTGCAATAAAACTCCATCGCGCCAATTTTTCTGGAAAATTGCCTTCTGGTTTAGACCTACCAAATAAATTGTTTGTCATCAACAGAATATTGACTACATTAAAATTCATTCAATTTGATTAAAAAAGAATTTTTTTTTCAATTTTTCAATATCTACTTGTTACCATTTAAAGAAAAAATAATTTTTTTGTTGGTAATTTTATGTAGTATGTTGTAAGAATTTGAAAAATCGCATTTTTAGAATATGATAATTTACTTTGTAAAAATTCAGATGTCGTGTGGTGTTTCATTATATGGTAGACTACACTGAAGTAACGAATTTTCTTGACAATGTTGTGTTGAATGGTGCAATGTAATTCAGATTCCTATAGTTTATTTATACACAATGATGTTTCCATTATAATTGGTACTGAGCTGTACAGTATTAAAAAAATCATTGTAAATGCCATAAAGTACTGAAAGCAATACGATAGTTCGCCCTTTGTGTGTATATATGGGTTGTTTTTGTACTAACTTCGAGCAGTGTTAATATGTATGGGCCAGTGTAGGACCTCCAACATGATTTAGTATTGTTCTGTGCATTGCAGAATTTATAAGTATTTTCTTAACTGTGTTAATCTAAGTACGTAGCTGTTTGTTAATACTTGTTGTAACTACATTCAACTTATTTTAAAATTTTTCGTAAAGAACATAAAATTTGTAGACAATTATGTACTTACTTCCCTTTAATTTAACCCTTGTTTTTTTTTTTACAATTACACCACTTTTTTATACGATTTTCACAATACAGTTGATCTCTTCAGCCGATTTCTTTTTTTTTTAACGTTTTTAAAAATCTGCATTGTGTTCTTTTGTTCAAATCCCTGTGAGTTTTTATATCTTTTCTTTCTTGTCCTTAAGTCAACAAACTTTGAAAACCTTTGTTAAGTGCTGATTGATAGGGTTTTTTGAATAAAAATGAGGATAAAGAAATGTTTGGGCAATTTTTTTTACCTTTTGATCCTCATTCTTTTCTTTGTCAATGTTAACACACAAAAATTGTTTTTATAATAATTTTTTTTTTACCTTTTCTACTTGCTTCAAATTTAATGGAGCATTTAGAAGTCTGTTGAATGTAGAACTCACTTTTTATTGGGGAATCTAAACAATGTTGAAAAAACAAACAACTTGAGTCATGTTTTCTAAATATTATTGTTTATCTGAAATGTTTGTATTAACATTGCAGGCTTTATAATGCTGGACAGCAGTACGGAAGGGGTTTTAAATAAAAGCAATGTTTTTGTTTAACATTGTTGATTAAAAAAAACAATGAATAATACCTTTTATTTTCAGCTGCTTTGTACATTTCCTAACCAAAAAATTCTAAAGGCCATTCGGTTATTATTTTTTTATTAAAATATAAATGCAAGATTTTCAAATAGTTATAAAAACTCTTAGATAATTTAGTTAAGGCATCTCTTGAATATTATTCAGTATCACATAGTTTAAAATCTGCAATGCATCATGGCTGCTAAAAATAGCCATAGTGAAAAGCCAGGGGGAATCACCCATCTTTAATCATGTTTTGTTAATCTGCCACAAGCCAGGGTGGTCTGACTTGTGGTAGTTACTTTGTAGCTCAATGGATACCAGTAGGCATTATTGTTTTTAATAATAGTTTTTTAAACTGAAAGATTTTATGTTAGATTTTGTTTTGTCATTGTTGAATGATTTACATGCCAACAAAAAAAATAAACTTGAAAATTTCACTCATGTTTTTTGTAAACACTTTTTTAAACTATTGTAATAAAACTGGACATTAACCTAACAATAAGTTATCATTTTTATTTCTGAATAGGTCTCATCATAAAGAGGTCTGTAAATTTAAAAAAAAGTACAGAAACAAGTTACACTTTAAATAATTCAATATGGAACATCAGCATCGTTTCCTTTTTGTGCCCAAGACACATTGGGCCGCCACAGGTCTCTTGATGGTCTCTAGCAATTTTCCTGGCATTCCCCCATGACAGTCCTGCCTCTGCCAGCTGCTTGCCGGCAGTCCCCCATGACAGTCCTGCCTCTGCCAGTTGCTTCCTCGCCGTGCGCCTCTGCGTCTCGCTTGTCTTCCCTGCTTTCTTTTTCCTTGACGCGTCCAGTTTAGCTTTAGCGCCATTCCTGCGATATCACCTGGATTCATTTTGAGGACTTTCAGAAACTGCTTGAATATCCATCTCTCCTAGTAGTCCCGTGGATGCCTTTATATGGGACATACATAACTGATGGAAAAACCTTTTAAAAATGTCTAACCTGTGGTATTAGCACAGGTCTATAAAGCTATGTGGTTAGTGACAGTGTTTCTTTCAGATTTATTTCTCCCCGGGGAGGGGGGGACGACGACACTGATAAAAGTATATATTATCAACATAAATTCTATTTCGTTACTATCAACAGCCATTGAATAGAAAGTAGAAATGTTCAAACAAAAGACCGCCCCTCCAACACATTTTAATTACTGGTTTTAATTATTATAGGCTACCAAGAGAGGTGGGGTATTGTTTTAATTTTAAAAGTAACTCTTCTAAGTATTCTAAGCAACCACCGTGATCATGCGTGATGATGTATTGTTTAACCATGATCTAACTCTTCTTCCTAGCTAGTCATAAATCTTTGAACTTATATAAACTCAAAGTTTCGATATCTATGGATACTGTTCAAAAGCCTTCTCGCACTCGAGAATTAAATTAGTCCCGTCTATTGACATTTTTTTTCCAATGACGCAAGACCTTTTAAAGTTTAAAGTTGAACAGCTGACACTATATGTAGGTCAGGGCGTTACTTAAAAAATTATTTTGTGTTGTATAAAGTTTCCCGGATGTTAGGCTCAAGTGGGTAAAAACCATTAAAAAAACGTATAATGTTCGTTTGAAGTAAAGGTCAGTTGTAGAGTAGAACACTTAGATTTCAACCTTAACTTTGAACTACTACTCCACTCCCTACACACACGTGTCAAAAATATACGCCAATCACGCCAATAACTTAGTTTTTAATTGTAGGGAAAAAGGCATTATCGCGAAGACAGCGCCATACTAGAATCCCCAGGGGAAGAGGAAAGTTTGGAGAAACAAAGTAGAAGAGGCTAGGGCTGCTAGGCTTACGTGGGCTGCCCAAAACCACTTCTCATGGAGATGTCTGCAGCCCTTTGTTGCCAATGTGCCGTAAAGGAATAAGTCAAGTTTTAATCGCATTCGCATATCAATAAAGCTATATTTAGACAAGAACATAAAGTGACAAAACATTATGTGAACTTGGTAAATTTGATCTTCCCCCAAATCCTACAAGTAGGCCATGTACTTACCGACGTTATCGTCTGAGGCCCGCAATAAACGACGTAATAATCATAGGAGGGAGAGGGGTTCGGACTTGGGTGACTGAGGGGTGGTGGTGGTGGTAGAAAGTATTACGTCACAAATTTGCATTTTAAAAAGTATTTTTCGGTACTGACTTTTAGCAGTTATTTCACAATTTTAAAGGCTAGATTCGAATAAAATATTTGATCTGTGTACCTTATGTAGGCAGTTCAGTGAGGTAAATGCAATAAATCGAAGTAACAAACACTAAAAATTGCAATTTACCGTGCCTAGTGTGCTGGAGTGTAGCGTCATTTAGTTAGACCACTGGTGTTTTCCGTTTTTAAAGTTCTACACTACGGCATAATATTTAGTCATGGGCAAGTCACAGGAGCCTATGGGTGTGCAAATAAGAAGGAGGAAGTGGCGCTGGGTGGGTCACACACTGCGCAAGGCTCACACAAATGTGACACGCCAAGCGCTTGAGTGGAGCCCCCAGGGAAAGCGGAAGAGAGGGCGCCCAAGACAGACCAGGAGGCGGAGTCTTCTTGAAGAACTGAAGCCAACAGGGATGTCTTGGGAGATGTCAAAATTAATAGCCGAGGATAGGAAGAAATGGAAGGAAATGGTGGAGGCCCTATGCTCCATAAGGAGCAAAGAGGACTAAGTCAAAGTAAGTCAAGTCACATTAACCTTTGAGGTCGTTCCATCTGGAACATCAGCCGACATGACGCTTGTGTTGTTTGTTGACTTGGGTGCCGTCAGCTCCGAGCAGCACTGCATCAAGTGGCTGCAATCGCTGGTGTAGAGGATGTTTTTCTATTGTCGTGCTGGCTTTTGGTGCTGGTTGACTCGGGCTTTGGCGAGAGGGCTGGTCAGCATGTTTGTGTAAAACCTATGTTTTTGAGTGGGAAGTGGGAAGGGTGTGTGTGTGGGGGGGGGGGGGTGAGAGCTGGCCGGTGTGATCACTACGTACCGACACTCACATAAAACATCACTACAGTATTCATCAGCTGACCTATGTAGGCGATTTACAGGCAGCCAAACGTTGAGCTGAAAGACGATACAATCCAACATTTTTACAAAAGCACGAAGTTTAACAGACGATACAATCTAACATTTTACAAAACAAAGCACGAAGTTTAGCATTTTAAAATAATCGAGTGTGTAGAATTAAATGTAAAACAAAATGTGAATACTTAAAACGCATGATAAAATGTAAACAAAATAATCCACCTACTCAACAACAACAACATCTTTATAATATCAGCATAGGCATATTATATACCTACGGTATATCCAACATCTTTTAAGAAGTTCCCAAAAATGATCCCCCACTAAATGGATTTGTTGTTCATTGTGTTGACATGAAAATATACTTTTTTTCAGTCTAAAGTAAACCTTAACACATTACATTGTCTAACTTAGATGATTATGCCATTTATAATTACCATACTAATTACGATGCGTGCGAGTTAATTAGCGTTGAATCATCAATAAAATCACTAGCAATGACATGCCTAGATGAGAATCGATCAAGAAACTCGATGACTCATCCCCTATATATATATATATATATATATATATATATATATATATATATATATATATATATATATATATATATATATATATATATATATATATATATAAACAGATGTTGCAATAACCAATAATAGGGGAGGGGGGAGTTCATTTGAAAACAATATAATGTGACACTATCGCCGAGTCTTGACGTCACGGTGTAATAAAATGTTTCTAAAATTAGCACGTCACGTGGGTATGAGTTGGGCCCTATTTTTTTTTTTCACTTATTGAAAGTAGAAGAAAGGGTTGGGGGGGGGGGGGGGGTGAATAACAATCGCAGCTGGTTTTATTTTGGCTTAGCTGCCCGTCACATATCCGGCCATTGAAATCATATTTGTCCAGTCCGAGTGCGTCACAAATCAGTTTTAGCGAGAGCTGAATGGAAGATGTGAACCAATTTCGCCGCACTACGGAAACGTGAGGGGTAAAAATAGGGGCAATACAGCGCGAGGGCGGGCTCGCTGACGTCATAGGAATAAACCAATCGGTCATTTATCGGCATCTCCACATGTGGCGCGTGGATTAGATCAACACAAAAAAAGTGTCGAGAGCCGTTTCATGTTACCATTCTTTTCTCTCTCTGGATTTGGTTTTGGTCAAAATAAACAAAACAAACAAAAAAAAAAATGGTTCTATCTTGAGCTCCTTAAAGTAATTGCTGAAGTTGTGACCTAAAGTGATGAAAACTATATTATGTTTCTTTCAGACTTTTACTCCCAGTGGGGGGGGGGGGGAGGCAGTGTTTCTTTCAGACTTTTTTCTCCGGGGGGGGGGGGGCGGATACTGTTAAAAGTATATATTTTCTATATATAAATATATAAATTCCGGGGGGGGGGGGGCGGATACTGTTAAAAGTATATATTTTCTATATATAAATATATAAATTCCCTTTCGTTGGGGGGGGGGGCGGTAGACTTTTTTAGGGGAAGCTCCGCCCCCCCCCCCTCGAAGAGATGCCTGGAAGAAACTCTGGGGGGGGGGGGGGTGACAGTGAAAAGTATAAATTTTCTATATAAGTTCTATTTTGTTGGGGGGGGGGTAGATATATTAGGGGAGGGGGCTGGAAGAAAATCTGATTAGAACTATTGTTAATTCTATTCCATTCTAGCTAATCTTTATCTTTTAAAAACAGAGGTTATCTTTGGTAATCGTGGCCAATTTTGTTTATCTGAACAGATATTGGCGATAAAAGCAAATTTAGACCGACCTACATATTTGCTGAGCCAGTAATGGCCGATAACGATTTAGTAAGCTTGACTATAGCCATAAGCTAAAGTCGAACGCTGAAACTTAATGCGACCACATGTAATCGATTATAACCCGATTCGATTATCCCAAAAAACCGCGCAACAAGACTAGATGATGGGCGGACACGACTAGCACACTACGTCAGCAATCAGCTGATTTTAAAACTTTTTGGCATGCCGGGAACGACAACAGTCAACAACATCCACCCCCAACACTCAACAGCATCCACCCCCAACAGTCAACAACATCCACCCCCTCAGTCAGGACTTGGTGCGCCTCGTCACGTGACTCCCGCCGATCCTATTTTTCACCCTACTCGATCACCGTGGTTCATTGTTCGCCGATACGCCCCGCTGTTTCTGCGTATTGACGCACCTCTCTAATGAAGGAGGTACGTTTGTAAATAATAAATACCATTGGTGGAAGTCATCGATTCTCCCCCCTGTCGTCATTGACAACAGAGCATGGTAATTAGGTCGATGGCGCGTGGCGAGTTGCTTCAAACTCTTTT